GTATATTTATTTTTCAAATGACACCTAATTTGCTATACACAATATATAAGCTATAAATAAGATTTTCAAGAGTTTATAAATTTTAGGATATTTTTGAGTATTTACGTATAGGGTCGTGCCGTAATGTTTGCGTCAGACGTTTCATCCATTCATGAATTTTAAAATTTCCTATCCGAGTTTATTTTTGTTATTGTTTTACATATCTTAGTTCATTTCAAGGTCGAATTAATTCAGGTATACCCCTCTATTTTTTAAACTGAATTTTTATTAACTATTCAACAATATTTAATATACAGGGTGTTTCAAAAAACATGTGCCATCTCTCGTGCGGAAATTCCGAATGTAAAAAAAGATTTATTTTTCATATAAACTGAGGTCTGATTCTGCTTTGTTCGTGACTACAGGGTGTACAATGTGTACAAGTCTTTTTTTTCAATTTATTATAATTTTCCTCCAAGTATTTTTAGTGATTCCAATGAAATTTTCAGGGTAAAAGTTACTATAAATGCGACATATTTTAATGCTAAAAAAGTGTCGAAATATACACCAGGCACGCGGATATGCGTTATCACTGGAATATTTTTCTAAAAAAAGTATGTACGCCACTGACTTTTTTTCTCTTGTTAACGAAATAGTGTAAACCGTTTAATGCCGATTAAAAATTGTCTTGATATTTGTCGATTTCGCACAATTTTATTAATTTGCTTTGGTCCAAGCCTAAGAGCAACCTTTAAAAAAATGTAATATCATAAACTTGCGAAAGTTTTAAATAAGTACTCATTGATTCCTAATCAAAAAATATGAAAAAAAGTTCCTATAAACGTTGGTATGGAAATGCATTGTTTTAAAATTACAGGATGTTAAAACTTTTTAAAATTAGGTCTTTTCTAATTATCTCAAATTCCATTATTATTTATCGGAATGGTCTAGGAGAAAAATTATAATAATGTCAAGGTGTCTGTAGCGCTATCTGTCGGAGAAGCGAGCAACTAAACTGCAACGTGTCAAGAAACCTGGCGAATTCACCAGAAAGTAAAAGAAATATTACAGAATTCTATAGAAGGTTCCAGAAACAGTTGGTAGGGGTATATAAAAGCCCGCGCTCGGCAGTTGGACAAGTTTTGAAGTTTGATAATACCGCGTTTTAAGTTGTGAATTAATTGGCGAAGGTGCAATTAAAGTTAGAGTAATAGTAGTTGCATAAATTGTATATTATAATCAGTATAAATTGTGTGTACAGAGAGAGAAAAAAATTAATTCGTTAAGTATTTTATCGTGAGTTTAAATTAGTGGACCGACAGAATCCGTAACAATAAATAGAAAAAAATATTAAGACTTTAACAACTTGTAGCTACGAAACAAAGCCGAATCGGATCTAAGTTGATATGAAAAATAAATCTTATTTTGCCGTGAAGAATCTCCCCATGAGAGATGGCACATGTTTTTTGAAACACCTTGTATAAACAAATTTATCATAGCTAATATTTGTTATCTGTTTTAAAACTAACAAAAACAATTTGTAGCATTTTAACTATAAGTTAGTTAACTTAAATATCTTTATATTCTTCTTATTTTCATTATAAAACTCTCCTACCGAATGTGAGTATGTTAATCAAGGTTATATCCGCCACAATTTTTGAAGCACCCTCTAGACCAGTGATGGCAAACGCAATCCATTTTTTTTACTGTTGCAAAGTTTTTATGGTGGGTATGAATGCATTGTGGGAATGAATGCAATATAGCTTTAAACAGTGAAACGTATACATATCAATTGGGTAGGGTTTTTTATGCTCTAATTTTAAAAACGACATTTATCTGCGACAGTAAAAAAAATGGTTTTGAGTGACTTTGGCGCCCTATAACTTTGTCCCCGTAGGTTTTAGAGGTTTGTTACTTAGAAACGAAAATGTAGAGAATCTAATACTACTCTACATTTATATTGTTATTATAAAATTATATGTATTGTTCCATAAAATTTTCTCTGGTTTAGCCAGAAAGTCGAATCCCAAATTTTTTTGAGTTTCTCAAAAACGGTGAGTTGGGAGGATACGAATTATCGAATTTAAGCTTTTCCAGTGGGCCACTTACGACTGAGAAAGTATAAGTGCGGGGGTAATTTGATGGGAGTTAAAGTGGCAGATTGACTGTACTAATATCTTGAAAGATAAAAAATTTCCTAATAGACATGTTCACTAATTTCAATGAGTTTCGATAGCTACATATGAGTAAAAAAACATAGCACTCAAAATTTTTCTTAAAAACTATAATTTTCTCACATAAACGTAAAACAAAATTGAAAAATGCAGCAAGGCTAGAAAACGTACCCGACTCGAGGCTACCTGTTTTTGACGTCACTGCTTTGATCGATCGATGACGTCCTTACGATTGTGCACTTGCCGCATTGTTTTTACAGACGTTCGCCAAGGTGTATTGTTTATTTTCATTGTTTTGTTGTTTTGAAGAAGTAAAATGAGTTCAAATAAGTGGTTTTTTGTCCCTGGGTGTATTAATACTTCAAAAAATAATCCACAGAAGTTTAGATCGTTACTTTGCGCCCCTTGCTTTTAATTCTTATTTTCTACTTTTAAGTGCATTTAATTTTAAGCTTGTTTTTAGAAAGTTTTTTTATCAATTTTTTCACTTGCAAATTTTTCGCTTAATATGGGTCCTATAGGGTGTCCAATTTAAAATGAGGTGCATGGGGATCTTGTAAATAAAATAAAAAAATAAAAATAATCTATGTCTATTTTATTTTAAATCCATACCGTTACGTAGATACAAGGTGAAAAAGAAAAAATGAACATTTTCGAAAAACCACCATATTTTCTTTATTATTGGAGCTAAGGTAATCAAAATTTCAATATATGGGCAAGGCAACATGGCAATTTTAAAAATGATATCAAGAAAAACCTAGGCCTTCTATGTTGCGCACGGCCAAGGTCAGCTTTTATTTTTCTTATGTGCGCCATATTTAAATTTGGCATTTTAAAAATCCTTATTAAAAATGTTTTCAACCATGTATTTCAATATGGCGCCCATAGGAAAAGCAAAAGTGCACTTCGGCCATGCGCAACGTAGTAAGCCTAGACTTTTTTGAACATGATTTTTTAAAATTTCCATATTACCTTACCCCTATGTTAAAATTTTGATGACCTTAGCTCCAATAATAAAGAAAATATGGTGGTGTTTAGAAAATGCACATTTTTCTTTTTCTCCATGTATTTACGTAACGGTATATGAATATTAAATAAAATAGACCTAGATTATTTTTGGACACACAAGAACGCAACTTTTCTTCTATTTAACCGATCTTGTAACTTTAATAGTCTTTAAGATCCCCATTGTTCCCCTCATTTTAAACTGGACACCCTGTATATGTGTGCGAATTTTCAGGCCAATACAATTAAAATTTAAGATTTGGCTCTCCTTCTCCTTAATACGGCCTTGTATCAGATCAACAATACGATAATTTTACATTGTCTTAGCTTCTATATACGCATGCAAATTTGGCCCCCTCCTCCTAAATACGGGCCTCTGACAGCTCAAAAACTCAATAATTTTGTATTGTCAAAAACCAAGTGTTGTTTGTTATCGCTTTCAAGTAAACCCGTCCTCCATCTCACTAAGTAGCTTTGTTTTTAAACTAGTAATAAACTCCAAATATTAATCACAATAAACCAAATTTAATATACAAACTACATCCGAGCACAACGCGATATGTCGTATTCTAGCTTGTTCTGTTGGAAACTCCACAGCGTGCAGACAGCACCGTTTACTCGCGCGGAAATACCGATCGAAGCAGTGACGTCAGGCCGCGTTTAGCGGATTCAAACGATTACGATAATTTCGCACAGATTTTTGAGGCATAAGCCTTTTTTTAAATATTTTACTTTGACTTTCGGACAAACAATAATTTTAATCTGAGAACTACCTACATATAATTAACCAAGAAATTCTTAATAAATATATGGATGGACGATTTTATTCCATAAATACGTTTAAAAATTTATGACGTCATTTTTTTAAGAAAACGTCCGAAATTTGGATGCATGAAAACTAAACTTATACATTTTAATATTTTGACGTAACCAATTTACCTTTTTTTGTTTCCTAGCCTATTACTATAATTTTTAGACCATAAGGATGCTAAGCAGCTGCATATAATATCTCCGGTTAGGAAGAGGATAAAAAGTTGCGGTTTGCGCGTTTATTTTGGAAATTTTGTGCTCTATTTAACTGTGTGGTGTAAAAAGATATATTTCTTTTTACCAGCTATTTAATTTTTTTATGCAAAAGCGCATGATCTGTATCGATGTCAAACAGCGCCTTCTAGCTACCACGAAAAAATATATAGAAACAAAATTTATACTGGATATCATTAAGGAAAAAAAGCTCAGAGATTTTTGAAAATGCATATTTTTTAAAAATACCCTGTAACTCCGAAACGGTAGCAGATATAGATAGATGTATGGGTTCGGCCATTACAATAAACATATATACTATACACATAGCTGTGCACAGTGGAGCAACTAAACACAGACTTTTAGTAGTACTCGAGTCTTTTTTTTGTGGGGGGGGAGGGCTTAGGTCACTATAAGATAATATTAATTTGAGGTTAAAACCAATTTTAACCGACCTGCACCAGACATAAGAGAGGTGGACTAATCCCCTCTAGCCCCTCCCTGGTTGCGCCACTGGCTGAGGAAAGGAATATCCTATTAATTCCACTATTATTGTCCACCAAAATATAAAGAAAATAATAAAACATCCACTCTCTTGTCTTTTTAATTAATGCTGTAATAGTAATAGGACAAGAGTTCAAAAGGTTTAAGTAATTTTTAATAATTTAAGTTTTATTCCTTACTATTCAGGTTTGCTTTGTTCCTATCTTCTAATATTTTACTTTGTTCGTTGTTATAAATACAAAGAAAATAATCTTTGATGATCATAAATTCTTAAAATCAATAAATAGAAATAGAATGTATAATCGTGAATCTCACCTGTGCTAAATTAAATAACACTAGAAGAATCAAACTGCATAACTTTAAATTTGTAAAGGAAGCTAAGAAAAGATTACCCTTACGTGTATACGTTTAGGGCCACAAAGGACGTATCGTACTACAGTCTAGTAACAGCGTCGTGACGCTTTTATTTGCGTCAGCAGATCGATACACCGACGCCGACGTTGACCTCGGCGCCTGTCCACCGGCGACTCGTCAAAATAATTCCAGCCGTTTTCAGAACTGTAGCAGTCCGTTATTCACAAGGTAGAGTTTTGATTGTTTTGTTAAATCTATAAAAATAACGAATATTAGTGGCCCATAATTTTTAGTTGCAACTATTCAGATAGTGATGAGCAAATGTAAGACCAAGACCAAGACTCGCTTGGTCTTGGCCTTGCAGTCTAATAGTAGTCTTGGTCTTGGTCTTGCTGCTAGACTCTTGCAAGTACTGAACTTTTTAATGGATTTTTACTAAAGGCACTTTCTACATAGAAAATCTTTCAATTTTTATTTTTATTTTTTTTTGTATTTTAAGCCATTATATATTGTCTGAGGAATTTTTTTAGTTTTAAATATACGAGGTGGTCCGAATTTAAAATTCAGACACTCTGGCAATACAGGTTGGCGCATCTCATTCGCCTCGGTTGTTTATAAGAAAACGGAAAGTTGTAGAAACAAAAATTTATATGAGTATATGTATAGAGGCAATGCGCATAATTTAAAATTATTTTTAAATGTACAGTTTTTCTTATGGAACACCCGGTATTCTATTTGATTTTTGGATTCTTCGGCATAAAATAAAGCATTTATTATAATGTTTAAATGTTTTGGTTTTTGAAATGTTTAAAGATATTTAAATATGCATGCTATAATAAAAAAGTTTGTCAACACCCTGTACATTACTTTTTACGGTTAATTCTTGTGCTGACTTTGAAGCCAGAGAAATAAACTTTACTAAAAAAATTTATTACTTCCTTAAATGTATACAGGGGTATCAACAATTGCTGGTCTATTTTAAATATTTATTTTACATAAAAACTTCGTTATTTCAAATAAAACACTATGTATTTTTTAAATAAGTCGAAGCAGATTTAAATGCTCTTTCAAACTATATTACGGTTTCCTACTTGTTTCCTATACCTATCTGGCTCAGATTTTGAATAAAAAGCATTTTTTCAATAAAATGGCAATCAAGATGGCTGGTGTCGCCATGGCAATTTGCTAGTGACAGTTTGTAGCTATAACTTACCGACAATAGTTGAATAAGTAAGTATTTATTATTTTATCAAGAAAAATAAAGAAGTAGTTATTTGATTTATATTACGCTGACTTGTAGATATATCGGATTTTCTATAAAAGAACCAATTAAAGCAAATTCATTTTCTTCACTTCCAACGACAGGTTTCTGTCTAATAGGCATTTCATAATAGTTTTTCAAAGGAACGCTTGTCAAGAAAATTGTCAGGGTGTTCCATAAGAAAAAATATAACTTTGGTATCGATCTTAGTTCTGACGCAACCTGTACATTTCAAAATAATTTTAACGAACAAACGAAGCACTTTTGTACAACGTAGTTGTTCTATGGCCACAAAATATTGGAACACCCTGTACATTTTTTCGGCCTGCGTTGGAAAAATTAATTTTTCAAAAATTTTTTTCTCAAAAACTATGCGATGTAGCGTTTTTTTACAAGAGATAAACAATGTAGTACATATTAAAAGCATCATTTTACGGAAAGAAAATCTGTCATTGGTGGAGTTGAAAAATATTTATACTAAAATTTATGTAGGGACCCTTCCCGTACTTTTTCTTGATTTTTGTGAAAGCCAAAAATTAAAGCACTTAGCAAAACATAGACACTCAAAATCACATTCAAATCGGAATAACGGTTCTTAAAACATCTAAAAATGTGTCTATTTTTTAAAAGTTTGATGCCCACTAGCGGACAAACGAAGCACTTTTGTATAGGGGTAAATTGTGTCCAATGAACGTATTTTGATTCCAAAAATACGTAGTAGTTCTATGTACAGGGAATATTGGAACACCCTGTATAGCGATATTTCTTCATGTTTAACCAAAAAGACTTTAACTTAAAAAATCACCGTATTATTAAATGATGGTCTAAATTAAAAGTTCAAGAAAACGGCATTATTTTAAATCAGGTTTTTCATGATTTATAACTAATATAGGATGAAAAATTTACCTGCAACGCCTATGGTGCTCTAAATTTTTAAAAGTCATCGCGGTATTTCAACTGAAGGTTAACGTAATTCTAGGGATTTCTAAGGTTTGTCTAATCATTTTTTTTTTTCGCGGACTGCCTTTTATCGATCAACTTCTAAGAAAAGGTTTTGGCTCTATTCTTGTAAAGTGTAGGCGTAATTTACCCTAGTGACGCAGTGTATTCGTGTTGACGGGCCGGGCCGTTCAACAAAAATATACACATTATCTTTTGTGTTTTTTACTATCGGTCGGTATTGAAATTATTATAAACCGAATTATCACAACTCAATTATCTACGTGCCAATTTTCGAAAATGGGCCATTTAAAGAGGAATTATCAATTTTTTGACAAGTTTTCAGATGTTTTTTAAAGATATTTTCTTTTCATTTGAATTACACAAAATTGCTATGTTAAGGGTCCATTCCACTAGTCCGAAAAAGTAGCAAAATAAGCGTTCGGCATTTAACGTTTTATGTAAAACTCGCTAGGTATTTTTACACAAATAAAGAAGGAAATTAAAGATAAATATTATTTTTAAGATTTTGATGGTCAAACATCAACAAAATATTCCTTATGTTTGGACTAAATTTTCTCGAAAATAAAGACATAATTTAAAATTCCGTTACAATACGGAAATAGATTGAAGTGTTGTGATTACATTGATATATAATTTATATGGTTTTGTAACAAATTGCTCGCTATTTTGTGGCAAATGGTGAAGCTCTGCAAACAGTGGTGGATACAGAGGGGGTGGCCATGGGACCCGGGCCCCCCTAAAATCTATAAATTGGGTTAAATATTAGGCTTTTGGGTTAAAAATGGAGCCCTAAAAAGCAAATTCTACATTACTTTTTATTTGGGCCCCCCCCCCTAAAATAAATTCCTGTATCCGCCCCTGTCTGTAAACCTTAATCAAGCCTGAATCCAAGCACGTTTGTAATTTTAGGTGCAGTTTGGTGTAGCTTAACTCGACAGGATGGGGCTAAGCCTTAGGGCAGATTTCTGAAATATAATATATATTTCCTTCGGCCACACCCGCTCCCTGAGAGCGACCCGAACAGTACTGTCTTACTGTCTTTTTTTTCAAAATAATAATAATAATATTAATTTTCATAACACTAATTTTGTAAGGGCCTATATTTTACCTCACTAATTCTGAACAACTTAATAATCTGATACGTTTTGATATCTTGTAAGAACTACATTTTTAAACATTCAATTCTTATTTTTTGCCATCATACCACATGCCAGTTGCCCGCACTAATTTTGAATGACAATATCCAATTAAAAATTTTGTATGATCCTTCTTTGACAACAGAGTTCTTCCTCCGAGGAGTGGATATCTATTTCCTACGAGGGTATACAGTATACACCCTTCCAAGGTGAGGGTTTAGCCCTCCGCGCCCTTCACAGTCGAGGAGCTTTTCTCCGGCTGAGGTGGGGGCTAAAGGATATGTTTCCATTTTCTCCATCTCTTTAAAGGTCGATTCTCACTATACCTTCCGTTTCCATTCCATATCCGTTCCGTATTTTTTATTGTACTGACCTAAGGTACTGACGCTATACATAAGCTTCCGTCTGTGCTTCCGTTCCGTATCAGTTCCATACTTTTTATTGTACAATTTATTACATTACGAAAGTTTTATTTTAAAAATTTGTATCTTTTGAAAAAGGTAGTAGATTTAATTAATAGGTGAAAGAATAAATAAATATCAGCGAAATGTTAGCACAGCTGGTACAATTGTAAGAACTTGACAACGCTGTTTCCGATACGCTAGAGTCCGTCCGCCAAAAAAATGTATGGTAGGAGAGGATATGGAACGGAAGGGAAACGGAACGGATAGTGTGCATTGTCCTATTCATTTACATGATATAATATTTTATGTAAACAAGGTATAGTGAGAATCAACCGAAACTTGGCCTCTCCTTAGACCTGATAACGGTGTTGTCCCGAATCTATAATAAAGGCTAGTATTATACATATATATCTTTTTCTCTATTGCCTCCTTGGATTTGTGGTCAATTCCTATTGTGAGGACCAAAATCAATCTGATTCCATTTTTAGAAATGTCGCAATAATGCAAAATAATAAAATATATGAGTTTTAATAAATTTAGTTACTTAAAAAAATTACTTAAATCGTCGATAAATGCAGCATAGTAAATTCATCGTTTTACTTCGTAAGTTTTAAGTTTTGAAAGTTATAAATGTATTATTTTTTCAAATGCCACAAAAGTATTAATTTTTGCGACGCCGCCGACGTGATTGACAACATAAAAAAAAAGTCATTTTAACGCCTAGGCATAAAAGTAAAGTGCTTTTACGCCTAAGCACGAAAGTACGAAAATATTATATTATTAACTTTTATAATATATTATTAATATATACATATATTATTAACTTTTATTTAACTTTTTTAATTTCACTCAAAATGAGTTATTTGCGTCATTAATGATCTAAATACAAAATATTTTCATGATGTCTGTCTGCCTGTCCGTCTGTCTGTCCGCCTGTAACACGATAACTCAAAAACCGCTGAACCGATTTTAACCATATTTGGCACAAAAATACTGTGGCACCCGAGAATCTAGCCATTAGTTTTTGCTGGGGGTAGGGGGTTGGTTTGGTTTGGTTTGGGGGTATGGGAGGGGGTTAAAAATTTAAAAAAATCGTAACTCCAAAATTACAGTAGCTAGCGAAACGCGGTTTTCAAATTAAGATTAGGAATAATATTCGCAACAAAATTTGTAATAACATCAAAATCAGTCAAAGTCGCAGTTTTTGAGATATTAACATATTTTAGTATATGGCGGCTATACGTGCCTCCCGGCGCCAATTTTTTGATTATGTAACGAGCACTTTTTTTACTCACTTATTTCATCGAACTGCTTGAATCCATTTTTGCTTTTGATCAAATCGGTGTGAGAAACTATGAAGCTATAAAATGTTTCGGGAGACTTGAATATCCGGGAAGGTTGAATTATTGAATGTTATTGCACCCAACAACGCCCTAATTACGCTCTCCTTTCGCGTTAACATTCTTTCGGCAAATTTATTAACATTTGAAATTATCACAACACAACAGGACGCCTAGTTCGATTTTTTTTCATTTATTTTTTACTACCCGAAACAACGTTACATCGCACAAATCTCGTATCTGAGTGTTATAGTCTCAATAACTGCCCTAGCAAAAAACTAAAATACTTAAATATTATGACAAAACAACGATTTCAATATTATTTTAATGCTACCAACATGACGCACAGTGTTTCAATGTGAGAAAAAAGTGGACATTTAAGTATAAAGTCAACATTGAAAAGTACTATTTTTTTTCATCATCACAAATTGGCAATACCCTACGCTATGTCGGTTCACATTATTTCTTTTTTATAACATTTAGTTTCCGAATAAATTTAATTGAAACTTGCACTTCCGAGTCACAAAAATTTAGCCAAAAACCCTGTCTATTTTACAAAAAAATGTGCTACAAAAGTATTGCTTGATTAAAAATTATTTTTTGCGTGCAAAATCTATAAACCTTTGGTAATGTATTTCTGTTAATTTTTTAAAAAATTATGCAGTAAGTAGACGGGAAACGTTTTTCTTTTTGGTTTAAGTCGTTTTTTTTTACAAAATTAATGTTTCCGTTGACTTATAAAAAAATGTTTAGATTTGTTTAAGTTGGCAAATATCTTGTTTGATAGAGCCACTTTTAGGGAAAGAAGCCTATATTTTCTAAGAATAGCAAATATTTGCTATTCTTAGAAAAAAATGCTTTTATTTCACATTCTGCAGAGGTATTTATTTTGCATTAGTCGACACGGATTCAAATGAAGGCGCATAAACTTTCAATCCTTCATTTGTGGATAAAATATTGGAATGTCTCCTTCATATTGCATACAATATAGATTTTAAGTCTTGATCGGCAAAGGGCGAAAACAAAACGTTGAAAGAAGAAAGAAAGAAAGCAATTAAAAAAGCCTTTAGAGATGAGCTAGGAATAATATTGGATGTCGTTAAACAAGGACATGGAACAACAAATGATGGTAAAACGGCCAGAACTTTCTTCAGCAATCACGAAGTAACCTCGCGAATAACTGATATAGACAGAAACTAATTTATCGGTTTGCAGTTATCCTTCAAGTCACTTCATGTGAGAAAATAATTAATTTCGAAAAGTTTCGGGCGTACTTGAATGTCACTGCAGAGATGTACGTATTTTTATACAGCCTGTATGCCCTCAAGTGTTCGCATCCTTTTGATACATGGTGCAGACATTTGTAAACATTTTAATTTTATTCCAATTGGGAAATTGACCGAAGAAGCTTCCGAAGCTAGAAATAATGAATTTAGGACATTCCGTCAAAACTTTTCTAGAAAAATTAGCAGAAAACAAAACAAGGAAAATATTTTGCATAATTTGTTTATTTCGTCAGACCCACTAATTTCATCTATTAGACGAAAATACAGTTGGAAAAAGAATTTCTCACTATATCCAGAAGCGCAGGAATTATTAGATGATATTCATATGGAAGTAGGAGATGAGGATAATGATTGGGATTAACATTATTTACAATTAGGTAAGAAGATGTTGTTTTATTTTTAGCACCTCTTTAGATCTGGGATTTTTTTGTTTCTAAATAAACTTATACCACACGCTCTGTAATAACAAATTGAAAAAATATTTTCGCTCAATTTTATCAATATTCATGGTAATTATATCAATACTGACATTCACTAAATTAAAATCATTGATGTCCATTGTTTTTCAATTTCGTCACACTGTGTGACGGCGCGGCTGGGGCGGCAGCGGCTGCGGCGTGAACTAGGTTGGGATAATTTCTGATTTTTGCCGTTGAAGCGCTGCGGTCGGAATTTGTTGAAATCAACTGAAATGCACCAAGCCTATATAAAAATGTCCAATAAGAATACTGAAATAATTGTGATAAAGTTATAGAGTATTAATAACAAAGAAAGCAATATAGCTATTATACTGAATAACATTTCTTTAAACTTATAAAACGGGAAGAATGAGGAAAGACCTTTGAAAAACGTTTTACAATTGAAACAAATAATATTTTTCAAACTAGCTAAGGTAATTTCGAAAAGTTACATCAAAATATGATAGCAGCTAGATAGCAGGTATATATACTATGCCATTAAAAAGAAAGAAAGCATTTTCATTTTGTCTAAATCGCTTATTTAAAATACCTACACCTACCTATTTTCTATTTTGCGTTTTAAATACAAATTTAAATCTATTATCACAGCTATTATCTATTTTGTATTTTCATTTCAATTATATTTCAAAGGCCATTTTTTACCCACCTCTGTCTATCGGATAGGAGATATGGAAATAGGATCCATGATCTCTGGACAGGATACAATATTTTGATGTATCGATGCCAAATCGATACTTTACATTTCGACTGCATTTACATTCTTACCTATTCCTTCTCTGGATTATTTGACATACTCCGTCACGATTTGACACGTGATTTGACATATCCCTTAACCTTAATTTTTGGTTGGATATTTTTTGGTGGTTGTTTATATTATGGATTGTTGACTTTATTGATGTTAATTTTTGTTTGTTTTAATTGTTACATTATTTTACGAAATACCAACATGATACCAACTGAGTGGAGTCACAAAAATGTTAATATTTTCTTTCTAGGTTTGGAATATCTGGAAATTTAATCTTCTTTGATATAAAACCACTAAACGTGCTGTAAAACATTTAAACGTTAGTTTTTAGTGTTTTTTTATATTTAAGGATAAATATGGTGGAAGAAACTACGAGCTGTATAAATAATAAACCAAAGGTATGTTTCTCTCTTACAGTTTTATTTTCCGAATTTCAACATTCAGCTATCTATGTTTTTAGCAAAAAACTAATAAACCTAAATCAGTCTACGAATGGAGCGTGAGAGACGTACAAAATTGGCTTCGCCGTCACTGCAGCGACTATCATCCTCTATATGCTGATAACTTTGTTCAGCATGATATCACAGGCCGTGCTTTGATAAGACTAAACGATAATTCTTTAGTGAGGTAAATGAATTCATGTAGCAGAGTGTCATTAATATACAACTCTATTTTATTTATTAGACTAGGAATTCGAGATCCAGTTCACCGGGAAGCTATTTGGAGGGAAATTCTAAAACTTAGACTAAAAACTGATATAATTGAAATAAGAGATCTGCAGTACCGAACAAACAGCTTTAATTAGGAACATTTTAAATAAAACTATAATGTCAGTATGAAAAAGCATGTTTTTTTAATTACAACCTAAAAAATAAAATTGAAAACAGTTACAACAATTTATATAATATATATTATACCATTACATATAAGAATTGTTAGTTATATTATTTTTATTTAATCATTCATTTTCAGCCTTAATTTAAGTAAACATGCAATTGTAAAGCGACTTGTAATAAAACTTTAATTCCTGGCATGAAACTAGCTATCAGAGCAAAATCTGGGCTTTGAACCAACTGGGTGTGAAGATATAACCCATTGGTGTAATCTCCATTTTGTACATATTGCACGATTTGATGTAAAGATTTTGATGCATTTGTAGATAACTAAAAAACAAAAATATACTTTTTATAAAACATTAGGTTTGTTCCAACCGGACCGAGAACTGATCCTGGGACAGTAATTTCTAGTCGCCTACTTATTGTTGAAAAGTTTGATCGTTTATCAAGATTAACAAATGAATTGACTGATAGGAAATTACTATTCTAGGTTCTCTCGTCCGGTTGAAATAAACATATTATTTAGGTCAAATGTTTTATTTAGACAAATAAGAAGTAGGTAAATGTGTCTTCAAACTTCAGGGAATATTGCCACAAAACTATATTACTTTAGCGAATCAAAAAAAATTGTAGTAGTACTAGCCTTCAGATGGAGCGGAGCGTCCGCGCAGACCCTCCGTCATGTTTTTTCAACATAGCCGTCGGACGGAGCATAAGCGCCCATGTGAAATTGTTCATATAAACTCATGGTACTTGCTCGACGTCGCGGACGCTCCGCTCCATCTGAAAGCGCTGTGAGGACACAAAGATCTGATTGATTGTTTTGGTTTGGTTTGGTTTCAAACCAAACCAAAACATTGGTTTTGGTTTGGTTTGGTTTGGTTTCAAACCAAACCAAACAAAAATATGTTAAATGTCAAGGAGTACAATATCATCCTCTTTTGTCAAAGAAGAAAACATTAGCCAAATAAAAATGGTCAACAAGGCCAACAGTTAAATAGACTTATTTTTAAAACAGCTTAGATTATTCTCATTTTAATTTGATTCAGATATTTAAATAATTGTTTTTTCTTTTCATTCAGGGAAGATGTATTCCTTGAAACATTATGTTTTTGTTTAGTAAGCAAATTTGTGTATAAGTGAAGAGCTACACTGACAACTATGTTTCTGCTGAGTCTAAAGACATATGTTTTTTATATAAAATAAATGATTTGATTTTCAATGATTCTTTGTGTAGTGATATTTCCTAGAGTTTGAACTGAAAATTTTTAGTGCACTTACTTTATTATACCTAAGTGAATCATATAGAACTTCTAATCTTCTTCCTACGTCCTCTAATTTCCTCTTGGTTTGCTGTAAATTATTTTTTTAGTTTACGACAATATGTATAATCTACCTAATGGGTAAATATATGACAGTGACGGTTGTCTGTCATTGCTCACTCTTGCTGGTCAGATTTTAGCAATAGAATGTCAGCCAAAAAATGTAAGAAAAAACAATCTACTTTTGAATTAAAATTACAGACAACCGTCACTAAAGACAAATATATTTTTTTTGCAAAAGTCGAGCTTTTACATGAATAATAAATAAAAGTAATAATCCAAGGCCTGGTTATATCCAGGCGGCTCACTGTGAAATAAGAACCTCAAAGCTATGACTATCCAGCTACTGTTTATGAATATTATACATATACCAAATGACCGAAAAAAAAACAGCGTCAAGTTACATTAGAATTGACCAATAGATGAGATTCGCCATATTATTTTACATATAAAATGTCGTCTATTTACAATCCAATACTTTGACGCCAGTTTTTGTTTTCCATTGTATGTTATATAGACCTGGCCATTCTAAATCCGTGATCTGTATTTTAACCAGCAAGACAAAGGAAGTTGATAAGAGTTGAGAAAGAGAGACAGACAGAAGGATGCATAGTTGCCGGTTATTACGTACGACAGGCTTGTCAAAGAAAAGAGAGTGATTTAGGTGAGCGCAACAATAACTTTTGGATTATGTGAATGTAGTAAAATGACTAAAATTAATTATCAATATTCAGAGCTGCAAGCTTACAGAAAGTTTTTTTCACTTAAATCATTTTAATGACTCAAGTCATTTGATTTTAAGTCATTTATCAAAAGCTGCTATTAAGACTTAAAATAAGTCTTTTTCAAAACGACTTGTGATTAAATCTTTATTCCGAAATAGAAAAAGCTTAAGTCAGATTTTTATATATTTTTAAGATACATTTTTAACAGCAGCATTCCTTTTTAAACTGTTAGGCGGCAGCCAAGAAGCAGAATAAAAAGACAATGCTTAACACCCATCACCCCTTTGTAATAGATATATATTCGATCGATGACGTCTAAACTGTAATGGTAATAAGTACATACTACAAAATAGGTTAAATTGAAGACAGTGATGTAGACCAAGGATACTATAGAGATAAGGATAGTTCGATTCCTATCTTCCTGCACTGTCAGTTTTTTTACGTCATCTGCTGACCGAGTTGAAGTTGGCGCTAAAGATTTTAGACAGTGACAGTTATTTTTGCATTTGATGGACGAGCGCACAGTGCGTTGGAAGATAAATTTAGCGGGACAAAAGCGTTTGGTTAGAAATAAGCCAAAAAATGTGTACTGTAAGAATAAATAGTAGACATTCCAATTAATATAAAAATGCATGAATATTCTTTGTATTTCGATACATTTTTATCAACCAAATTTGGTCGTTTTCTGCTCAGCAAGGCAGAGATCATACGAAAACAAAATATTTACAAGTGCTTATACATTTTATTCCAAAGCCAAATTATGTTGAACATTGCCAAAGGTATGTACTTTTCTACTGTACGTATATTATTTGTTAAACTCCTTCGTGCCTTTGTTCTGCAGATATCAAACTTTCACTTTTATTCAAACATCTATCTATATATTGAATGATGTAGATCTTTTGAGTTACCAATAGTTACCAACACAGTTAGTTACAGTCACAGGGAGTTCAAGCTTAACAGGTGAATGCCCAGAAAATTTCATTTCAATCGGATAGTATAAAAACAAAACAACTCCATCAAAAGGCACTGAGTTTAAAAGTTGTCTTAGATACTTACTATATATGAATTTACAATTACCGAGTGTTAAAATTAAAATTAAAATATCTATCTTAATTAATATTTTTAAATTACAATATAGAGGGTGTCACAAGATTACAAAGTAATTAAAAAATAACTGCTAAAGAGTTTTTTGTAAGTATTTCACCTAATATCATAATTTTATGTATTTGGCAATAGTTTACAATACGGTTTTTGTGTGTCATGTACGAATAATATCATAGTTTTATTATCTTGTATTTATTTATTAATAAATTAAGTTGTTAATAAATAAATAAATTTAACCATATAGTTGCTATATATTAGACCATTTGCTACGTTCTTAGATTTTAAGTCCCAAACATTGCTCTTGAGATTCAGCGCGTGACGTAGCATTCCACGGCGACTACGACAGCGGCGATTTTACGCGATCGAACAGTCCTTTAGAATATATACAGTCCTTGGATGTAGACAGGTTAATGGAAAATCAAATGTATTAAAAAGAGATAAAATTGGGTCGACAAATTTCTTCTATGCGGTATTGCCGGATTTTGCATCAAAATTTCAAACAGCACAAGTAGGCGTTTACGAAAAATGTTGCATCTAGGGTTGGAACTTTATTTTTCACTATTAGTTACTTATTTTACTACAGCTGTAACAGATTATATTTAGTTTAGATATATTATCATCATTTCAGTAGTCTACATGAAAGTTAAAATAGTTTATATTTTTCTACACACATTTGTAAAAAACCGACAACACTGTATACCGCTTTTGATTTTGTCTCTCTGTCTGTCAACTGGTCATTTATATTATTCTCTGTTCCACGCATTAAAATCCAGACCACATAAATTGGATGACCAGCAGGGTATAAATATAACTGTAACCGTAATAAGTACATACACTACAAAATAGGTTAAATTGAAGACAGTGATGTAGACAATTTAATGGAAAATCAAATGTATTAAAAAAATAAAATTGGGTCGACAAATTTCTTCTATGCGGTATTGCCGGATGTTGCATCAAAATTGCAAACAGCACAAACGGCCAGGGTAATTTTTTTCAGAAAATTCAAAAACACGTCAATTTTGTTTGTGAGAGGGACAACTTTTGCCCCAAAAATGACTGCAAAATCTTCAACCCTCTAAGCGGGGGTGTCATCCCCCAACTTTTTTCAAATGGGAAGGGGGGTCAAGTGGTACCGCAATGAAAAGGGCTTTATTATTCTATACTTTCCCGCTTCGTTTTTGAAAATCGGTCGAGTCATTGAGAAAATATGAAGGATTGAAATTTCTTAAGCATTCATTATTTTTAAAATAAAGTTCGATTATTTCCACTTTTTCTGGAAGTGAGTACACCATAATTGTTAAAAATTTTAACGATATTGAGAAGAACTTCAACGCACAAGTCACAGAACAGCTATCTAGCAACTGCCGCACCTGATCGTTCAACCTTGTGGCAAGTGAAAAAATGCGTAAACATCTAGAAATAATAAGAAAAAACAGCAAATTGGTTGAAGGAATTTATCCTTATCATTTACTCTGATAAATGTTTAAATAAACTTTTCAAATTTCAATCCTTCATATTTTCTCAATGACTCGACCGATTTTTAAAAACGAAGCGGGAAAGTATAGAGAATAAAAAGCCCTTTTCATTGCGGTACCACTTGACCCCCCTTCCCATTTGAAAAAAGTTGGGGGATGACACCCCCGCTTAGAGGGGTGAAGATTTTGCAATCATTTTTGGGACAAAAGTTGTCCCCCTCACAAACAAAGTTGACGTGTTTTTGGATTTTTTGAAAAAAAAAATATATATCTGGCCGTTATGCCTTGCTGAACGTTTTCGATGGGCCACCCTGTATATGTATGTCACACTGTAAGTTAAGTTGCAAAATTAATTATTTAAAAAAATATATTTACCGCATTGTTAGCTGCACACAAACATCTATCTTTCAAATCTTCAAATACTTTCTGAATAACTTCATGTTCCGATGGTACTGGGGGTTTCTGCACAGGCTGAGGCTGTTCGATTTTTGCCATTTGCTGTGGTGGAGCCGGCGATTGTGCTGGAAGAGGAGTTACCCCACCGCCCCGTACCGCGTTTTGATTAAAATTACTTGGGTTGAACCCCCCACTTTGAGGAGGAGCTGCAAAAGATGTAGGCGGAGGAGCAAATGTTGGTTGTTGGGGAGCAAATGTTGACTGTTGAGGAGTAAATGTTGAGTGTTGGGGAGCGAATGGTTGTGGTTGAGGAGAAAACGTCGGGGGTGGAGGGGCAAATGTTGATGCTGGAGGAGCAACGGTTGATTGTGGAGGAGCAAAAGTCGACGGCGGTGGAGGGTAAGGCTGAGTAGGCGGTGGATTAAATACCCCTTGTTGAAAGTTAGGCTGTTGTTGTGAATATGAGGAATTGGTGTCTCCATATCCATTTAATGAAGTTTGAGGTTGTACAGGGGCCGCACCATATAGTGGATGTGTAATGGGTTCTGATGTTACAGGCTCCTGTTTAGCCTAAAATATATTTTAGATCATTAATCACATATTTGAACCCAGACATTAGGAATCTATGGATATGAATATGGTCGATTATCGGTATCGGTAGATTTCCAATCGTTAAAATAATGACATTAGATATTTAATTAAAAGACCTTTATGACCATGTAGAAATTACTTATCAAATAAATAAGTTCTATGTAGGCACATATTATAGGGTCCCATAAAAATATCTTTCCAAATGTCTAAAAACCCCAAAAAATCAAATATCTAATCTAATACAATCATATCTGATTTGCGTTTTCCTTTTTAACTTTGGCGAAAGAAGGATTATTCACCTAAATTTTGAAGATTGTTTATGTTTACAATTATTAATATGTCATATTGTGTAGATCTTACTCAAATTTTTACACGGTAAATTTCAACTTTACATACGTGTGTGTTGGCTCCTTGAAGGTGCAGTGTAAAAATATATCAATATACTGTGTATAGACTTGGTGCATTTCAGTTGATTTCAGCAAATTCCGACCGCAGCGCTTCAACGGCAGAAATTATCAGTATGTATTTCATGCCGTCCCATGTTGATCGCATTAAAATAATATTGAAATCGTGGCTTTGTCATAATATTTAAGTATTTTAGTTTTTTGCTGGTGCAGTTATTGAAACTATAAAACACGAGGTAGTATTACTAATAAAAACTATTAAACACAGTACGAGGGTTTGTGTGATGTAACGCTGTTTCGGGTAGTAAAAACTAAGTAAAAAAGAATTCGAACTAGGAGTCGTGTTGTGTTGTGACAATTTCAAATGTTAATAAAATTGCCGAAAAAATGTTAACGCGTAAAGGAGGGCGTAATTAGAACTTTGTTGGATGCAATAACATTCAATAACTCAACTTTCCCGGGTATTCAACTCTCCCGAAACAACATTTTATAGTTCATAGTTTGTCACACGGCTTTGATTAAAAGCAAAAATGGATTCAAGCAGTTCGACGCAACAAGTAAGTAAACAAAGTGCTTGTTACATTTAGAAAGAATTAAATAGACATATACTATGAGAGGATAAAATATAATTTCCAATATTAATTGTATACTTTTTTTAATCAACTAGTGATTAAATGTTTTATGAACATCTTCTAAAATTATAATTATGTACCTTTAAAAAATTTCGTTATAGCCTAAATAGCCCCAATTATGACTCCACTAGCAAAACCGGTGATTAAAACTATGCTCACTACCGTAGATGAACTCATCTAATTTTTTTTTAGCTGGAATAATAAATTATAATACAAGTTAGACCTTGTGACGATATCAAAATATTTACTTTTTTATTTTTATTTTTAAAATTTTCACAAATTATACTTCCCAACACTTTTAGAATAATGATACAATAAATTTTTCGGTATACTCGCTATTTAAACCCGTGTATTTGTATATACTAGTTATTTCGATATTCTCCGATGGTGGCAGCACCAGCGGAAAATGCACCAAGCCTATAACAGCAATATTAACAGAATGTGAGTAATCCAGTTCATCTTCATTTATCAAAATGTAAAAAAGGAATGCAAGTTACCATTTGGAATCAGAGTTTTTAAATTTCATATTTTATAATATAAAATACCTATAGATCGATAATAATAATCGGGCATATTGACATCAGTCAGTCACTAACAAAAATCAAACACAAATATACACATTTTCGTTAATTAAAAATGATAGAGCTTCAGTTAAAATACGCTTTGTATCTTAAAATATATAATACATGACATAGCAACAACTGAACATTAAAAACACAAAAAACAAAACCAAATTGGTACCTTTCTCCACAATTTTGTGCCAGAATGCAATGGCGACATTATTTGTTGACTGGACAAGTACTTATACAGAAAATATATTATTACTTTATTGTACAGTTTTGAATTTTCTTACCTGTGGTTTAGGTAGTCGGTTTGTTACAGGAGGCGGATCATTCCATCCTGGAGGTGCTTGAGCATGATAATTGATCGCCGGTTCCGCTTGTTCTACTGTTGGTTGCGGAGGTATATTCGGTACCATAGGGTTCGAATTTAATGCGGGATTTGGTAGTGGAGAGTTTACTAAACCTATAAGAGAAGATGCTTTCTTAATGCACAGCTTATATGGTGATAATAATATACAACGTAATTTACGGTAATATATAACAGGCTAATTTAAGCAATTTTATCTGTACGGCTAAGCTTGCGTGCGAGCCTTATCGAGCCATATCGAATACCTCTACAACCAAAATCAAAAATACGCTGAATGAAAATATCATGGCGGATGTACAGTATGATCGAAGAAAAAAGATCAATCTCTAGATGTAATTTACATAAAATTTACATAAAACTTGTCAAAAATTAACACTAAAGTTTCATTCAGAACCTCGCAATTACTGGAATAAATTACAATATCCTCGCAACAGCTTGCGTTAGTCAGTTATATACACAGAGAAAGCCTCATATTTAGCTTATAAAACAATCAATTTTTGATTTCTAACCACAATTTCTCTTGACGGAAGATAATCAAAGGCCAAAAGTGACATTTCTCGCAAATTTTGACGTATAATTAGTGGAAAAGTTAAAAGTTTGACAACTTTTTCTATTAATTGAAAATGTCTACCACAAATTTTAACGCTCTGAATGCTTACATTGAAATTATAGGAACAAACTTCTATGCTAATTAAAACCATTAACTTATTCCACTAATTGCGAGGTTCTGAATGAAGCTTAATTATGGAAAGATTAAAAAAGGATAGAACGTTTCCAAACACACAAATCTATTACCGTGAAATGGGGTGACTTTACCTCTTGGGGCGACTTTTCCAAATTCCGTCCGAAAATATGTTAGACGTAGCCGTAGCCACTACTTGACAAGAACGCTTAATGTGTTATCGGTAAATTATGGGTGGAGGCGCCCCACGTCTCGGAACGTCGCTAAACGCTTGCCGTCAGTTGCGATGTAGCATTTACAGTGCTGTGAAGCCAAATCTGTTTTTAAAGCCTATTTTGTGCGTTTCAAACTTCTACGTGGCTGCAATAGTTAACCAAGCTATATTGAGGTAAGTATTATTTTATTTTCATGATTTGTCATTCCCCAGTCGTCTTCGACGCGGTTGTTTTCAATCACATGTGATTTACTTATGTGTGAAATGAGCGTTCAGAATGTACATTTTTGAATATAACACTTTCATACTGCTGAACTATATTAAAGGCCTGTTTTAGTCCTTTATATGCACAAAAGCAATGTCACTTGAAATAACTAATATTTTATATAAAAAAGACACTACAAAAATGCACTGAAAAACAGGAATGTAAATTTCTAAGTCTGTGAAATGACCTTGAAACAGAGAGAGGCTCTTTGGTCTTTGGGGATCAAAATATAATCATTTTCCCTATACCGGGTGCGTCTCAAAAGTGGCTCACCCCCTATAACTTTTTTATTTCTTCAGATAAAAAAAACGAGATTTGGTATGTTAGTATGACATAAATTAGGATTGATTGACGTATTCAATTGTTTTCGGTCACTTCCTGCTTTACCGGAAATGCCAACAACTTTTGATTTTTAAATGGCACTCTCGGTATTTTTTTACTTGACATTTTGAATAGAATGACATATCATCGATGTCAACTTTTGACATTCTCGCTTAATAAAAAATCGTATTTTAAATTTCAATCTAGAGTGCCATGGCTATGTTAATTCTTAATTAAGGAATCTTGCAAAAATAGATTTTGGACATCTAATGTTTTTGGTATCTTGTCTTGGCCGGTTAAAAAATGCCCAAATCGTATTTTTAATCATATATCAATTTTTTCAACGGTTTTGGAACGAGTGGGTGGCTCATTAGCATATTTGGAAAAAGCATTTTTTTACGAATAATTTGATACCATACACTTGGTATTTTGAGTCAAATTTTCGTTACGAACCGCAAGTTATAATTTCAAATAAACCATATGCGAAAATGTCAAAAGTTGACATATGATATGTCATTCTATTCGGAGTGTTATTTTCTACCGAATAAAGTAAAAAAAATACTGAGGGTGTCATTTAAAAATCAAAAGTTGTGGTCATTTCCGGTGAAACAGGAAGTAACGGAAAACAATTTAACATTTTAATTTAACAAAGAATAAGTCAATCAATCCTAATTTGTCATATACTAGCATACGAAAAGAAAAAAGTTATAGGGGTGAGCCACTTTTGAGACGCACCCGGTATAAAACTAACAATATCAAAAATAATACCTGATGGCGGTGGTTGGTACATTTGAACTGCAGGCTGTTGTCCATATGATGGAGTATTATTGTAAGAATCGTAAGTTGGTACTGGTTCCTGGGATATGGGTGACATATAAGGGTTTCTTGAAGGAAACTGGTTACTTGTTACCGAAGGATCTAACACATACTTTCGAGATAAATGAGCTGAAGAAGTGCCTCCCCTTCCTGAACCGACACTGTCAGGTCTGGGTGGTGGTGGGGGAGAGAATGCTTTTGGTGGTTGATTGACGACAGGTGCGACAGGTACCTGCTGAGGTTGCCATGGCTGACTGTTCACATTGGCATTGGGCAAGCCAGTGTTAAAGCTCGGGTTATATTGTTGCTGAGGTCCATTAAATTGACCCTGTAATTTATTTTGTTATTAACAAAATATTTTTTTTTGCAATGAGAAAAAATTAAAGGCTTACATGGAAAGAGTTGGTGGTAAATGATGTTCTTGTGCTACTTCTCCTGCTGCTAGATTGCCTGATTTCATGGACATTTGAAGGCTTTTGGCCTAAAGAAGTTAGCAATCTATCCCTTAGAGAAACTACTTTTTCATTTTGCGATGATCCCAAATAAACAAGGGCAATTTGAAGATGACCCTGTGCTGCTAAAATGGAAGCATAACGAGATAACAGATCTGCCAATGCACTAGAGACCTAAAAATAAATAATAAGTTTTAGGAAAAACAAAAGCTTACGAAACATTTTCTTACCTGTACTCTTTTTCCTTGTCTCTCTATAGATCTCTGTAGGAATGATACTAATTCCACAAGTTCTTGTAGATCTTTGGTTGAGTTTAAAGCTTTTCCACTCCAGCTTGTCACTAACCTGTCAAAGTTACCAGAACAGATATAACAAAGTTGGGCATCCTGAGCATATTTTGGGTAATGAGTGCTCTCATATTCCAGTCGGCTTCCAAGTTGTTCTAAGTAAAATAAGTATAGAGATATTTTTCAAAAATATATTTTGAGAGTTCTTACCACATAAAACAGGTAAATCATCTTCACTAGCATGAGTTAAAATTGCAGCTAAAGCTTCTTTCCAACTAGTAATCTCACAATTGTTAACTACTGAGACCCAGTTTTCAGAAATTAATGCTGAAATTAAATTTGAAATATATCCCTCCGACTTCTCTAAATAATGATGTTGAGTTTTTGCTAATAAATCTGGTCCACCTGTGCAAAAGTAACGGTTTAATACTCTAAAACAAGAAACTATATTAATAAGTACCAGTTGTAGCTATAATCAGAGCATCGGCATATCTTTCAGCCATGAGACAAAGTTCCACAGCAGATTCAACATTGTTCAGAAGAAGAGCCTGAGTTATCAAACCGTCAATATCATCATTAGTTTTGATTTTAAATGGCTGTAGAGTTTGTTTAGCATCATTCTGCTCCGCTATTGCATTAAATGGATCTTGTGGCTCATAATCTTCAATCTGAAATATATTAAAAGATTGAAATAGTCTTTGTTTTTATTTTATACACTTTTATCACAACTTACTCGGTTGCCAGAGAATTGATCAGTTAACGCATCTACATTATCTTGTAGTACTGGTTTGCCTATATGCTGAGCTAGTTTGTTGTTTACATCTTCTATTTTGTAGCCTATAAAAGTATAAGGACATTACTGACAGTTATAATAGATGTTTAATCTATTCACTTACCCAGGAGATTTAATAACTCTGCTCTAGGGTTTTGTTCAAAATTAGCCTTCAAGTAATGCCAAATATATTTTTTATGCTGATCGTCAGTGCTATTGGCTTTATTCAAGCAATATTCTTAAACAACAATAAATTATTTATTATACAACAATATTGACTGAATATGTTATAGATATTTGCGTTAGTCAATAATACTAAGGGCTGGCAAAGGTTAGTCTTGGGTCGAGATTTCCGTATGTAAGGTGAGTACAATGCGTTTATAATGTACTGAACAAAGAGAGAACAATAAACGCGTTGGCAAACGTATGAAATGAGTCGAGAAACTGTGCACATTGCTAAGAGACGTGGAAGGGGATACAATCAGTGCCTCTGTCAGTAGTTCTAGGGAAAGGTGTACATCATGCGTTCAGCTTCACGATTTAATTACGTCTCGTGATACTTTATTTGTTTATTTATTAACGAGTCGTTGTAATTTTCCCTATAGCTTAAATTTTTTTAAGTGCAAGCTAGAAACACTTGCATTTTTGGTAAAAATAAGTGGAATTGAGTTGGTTGACAGTGGTCGAGCTATTAGAACTCTGAATTCAAAAATCGATATCTCGAAATCTATTAGAAATAATTGATTGTAGTTTTTTCAAAAAGTTTCTTAATATTTCTGTTGCATTTTCTTCGTAGACAGTAAGTGAAAATCTTTATCAATAAAAAAATTTCACGACTGCTGAAAATTGCTATGCTCTAAAAGCAAATAGATGGGTTGTTTACAATTTTTGAACGAAAAAAAAACAACCTCATAGACTTTTTCTTATGTAAACATATTGTAAAAGATCCTATCTTCAAAATAAAAAAAACTTTCAATATTTAGATTTTTTTAGAGAACACAACTCAAGAAACACTAGAGTGTTTCTTGAGTTATAGCGTGTTATGTGTTAAAAAGTTGAGTTTTTAAATTATCACGATTACTGACGTTTTCTCGTTATAAAAAAAATGACACCTTAAAGATATCCTTATAATTCTATTTCAGATGCTCAGAAACATTTCTAATGATTTTATCTAGTTATCTTGTCGAAAAAAAGTCTTTTAAAAATAAGCGGTTTGCGATCGTGATTTTACTTTACTTGATAGGGAAAGGCGTACCGGCAACGCCGCAAGAGCCCTCCGTCGCATTTCTCTCATTCCGACTTGGTAAGATTCCTATGCGATTTACTTCCACACATGTAAATACCGACCCAAGAGTAACAGTTACCAGCACGGTATATAGGCTGTAAATAAATAAATATGAAAAAAATTGTAGACAACTGCTTTTTGAAACACAAAATCTTCCCTACAAAGTTATTTGATTAAACAGGGCAAACCAAAATCACAATATACAGGATGTTCCACTAAGAATAGCTCTCGACTGTAAAAAACTCGGAAAGTATTAGCCGTAGAGATTATAACTAAAAGAGACCATGAGAAATTGCTGAAAATTATTTTCAAGTTTGTAGAACGGGCGCTAGAGAGCGAAACTGCTATAGAAAATAAGAAAATAGAATTTTTACACGGTTAGATCTGAATCTATTTAAATGTAAATAACTCCGGACTGGATGATCAGAATCCAACAAGCGAGGGCTCGTTTAAAAGAGGTGTAAAATAAGATATAAACGTTTAGTTTATTTTAAAATCGACAATATACCAGAATACTATAATACCAAATGTATTAATATTTAATAATTAAGATTTTAATAACAGTGAAAAAGAAACAATACCTCAGTGAAGTCATGATAGGCTTTGGAAAAAGTTGCTTTTGACGTAATAGTATAAACGTCAAATTGTTATTAGATCAACATTTTGGTAGTCATAGCAGCGTTTTTTATCTTTTGATTGATTTTTTCAAAATGCCTCTATTACTTTGCAAGCAGTTGATGGCAACTGTTGCAAGGCTTTATATCCTCAAAGGCGCTATCACGACAGTAGAATGTTTAATCGATTGGCCTGCCGTTTTCGTACTATGGGAAGTATTCATTGCCCTGTTTATCGATGAGGGCATAGAGGTCAAACTGAAGTTAAAACAGGATAAATGTTTAGGTATATGTAAAGTTTGATCCCAAAGTTAGTACTACGGTAGGCAATTGTCCGAGACTTGGGTGTTTATAACAACGTATTGTTATAAATTACTTATTTTTCTTCTATCAAAGTTCTATGCACAGTAGTACGAGTGTTAGATTAAAGTCAGCGGTGGCAGTGATATCAACCGTTTCTTGAAGTAACAAGGCCATTTTGAAAAGGCAGTCAAAAGATAGAAAATGCAGCTGAGACTATCAAAATGTTGCTCTAATGACAATCTGACATTTATACTATTATGTCAAAAGCAACTTTTTCCAAAGCCTACCATGACTTCACTGAGGCTTCGTTTCTTGTGCACTATTATTAACATCCAAATTAATAGATATTAATACATCTGGTATTATGGTATTCTGGTATATTGTCGATTTTAAAATAAGCTGATCGTTTCTATCTTATTTTTTTATTACAACTGGCATAATCAAGAGGGCTACTGACCTGTTATACCCTGTTATTAAAATAAGGCAATTAAGAGCTTATTTTTTCGTATTTACTATAATTTTGCTAATATCTTCCGATTTGGAAAAATATATCAAGATGCTGTTTTTGCTGACTTTTTAAGCTTTTATTACTCTTTATTATCAAGCCAGTCAAGCTTAATCATGTGAATAAAACTTTACTTGATTTGAACTATAATATATTGATATAAAAAATAAATCTTATTTTTATGTGAGAAGAATGAAATTCTCCCTCCAGATATGGCACATGTTTTTTTGAAACACCCTGTATAACAGAATATTACAGTAAGCCCGCAGCCAACGAGAAATAGCGGCATGGGCGCGTAATTATCACGTGACCGTAGGAGTTCACAAAAAGTTAGGTTATCAGGTGTTGAATGTTTGTTTACTTCATTCCTAAAACGTTTTCTCTTGCGTTGCTCCTTTTAAACTAATTTAAATTTATTTAATTTTAATTTACAAAGTTAATAAAATAGGGTAGTAACCTCGATAGTGAGTAAGTAAAGCTCGGTGTTAAGTAAAAAAGACTAATTCTTAGCTGGACAAACATGCCGCGAACGTGTAGTGTGTTGTAGGTCCAGCTATAAAAATGAAACTTATGTATCAAGTTTTAATTTGCCAGTGGATCTAGAAATGCGGAAAATGTGGCTTAGAAATATTCCCAATGATTTAAGTGGCTTAAAACGTCCCCAAGTTTGTGTCAAACATTTTTCAAATAAAGACATTATTTGGTATGACAAGTGTGTTGTGAAAAACTAAAAGAGTTTAAAAGACAAAGACCTAAATTAATAGAAAATGCTGTGACTACAATTTTTGAGAATGTTCCTAAATATTTAAGTAAAGAACCTGTATCGACTGTTCGATTAGCCGACGTTGAAAAGCAACAAAAATGGAAATTGCAATAAGAGAGAGTCTTGAAACCCTCCAAGCTCATTCAAAATCAGAAGTGTTATCAAATTTTGAGGACATTTCGAACTTTTATTGTGCTAATAATATGATTAACAAAAATTGGATTCTAACCCAAGAAGGACCATTCATGGAACAAGACAGGGGAATCATTGAATAAGAAGGGGAAAACTTACATTACCAAGCGAACATGCAATCTTTGTAGTGTCTTTATGCTGGGCACTTTTTCAAAAAATTATAGATGAACACTTTGTAAAATTGATTGAATGTAAAAACCATCTCTCATTTATCTACAAAATTAGTTGTTTCTTTTTACAAAGTTATTGTGAAACTTATGACAGAAAACTTTTTATTAGAAAACACTACCGAATGTTTGTGTGGGGAAAGGTTATTTTTTTAACTACAAAAAATCAGTTTAAGAGCCTGCAAAGTTTGTTTAAATAATTTTATTAAAAAACAAAATGATGTTCCCAGTAATAATAATAAATCACTAAACAAACATGATGACACCCAAAGAAAAGTAAAGAACTAAGATCTCAATAAAGTAACTAGTTTAAGGGCCTTTTCTTATTTTGTAAAATAAATTTTATATTAAACGATTAATTAGATATTTTAATTTTTGTACTAATTTTTTTAATAAAGCAATCCAATAACCAATCCATTCCATTTAAAAGAGGTTAAAAGAACAATAATTTAGGAACTGCCATGATCACGTGACCACCGATATACGCTATACGCGCCCAGGCCGCTATTTCTCGTTGGCCGCGCAGTAAGCCTAAGTTTGTCAGATACCAACAACTTTATTAGCATAATTCAACATACCAACAAAATTCCCTGCTTGGAGTGCCTCCTCCAATTGAGATGCTTTCTGAACAAATTCGGCTTCAGTGACAACTTGACTGATCAATACAGTTCTGGGAATACGAGGTAGTACCTGACCAATCTGATCTATTTGCTGGGTCTGTATTGCAACTTGCTTGTTATTTTCAAAAGTTATCAGCTTACCGCCAAACTATAACATTTATTATTAAAGAAATTTATTATATATTTTTCTAAATATGAATACCCCAAAACTTGCTCCTACAGGTCTTTTAAGCCACTTTGGTGGTTTTGTTAGGTCGTTACTGACCACTGCATTATTTTGCTGTAAAGCTGGCGCTTGTATATAACCCTCCATACCAGGAAAACTATCAGCTATCTTGTTAGTAGTTTGTATTTGTTGTGTTTTGCCACCCATCACTGAGTAAACAGAAACATGTCCATCATAATTTGGGCAAGCAATAAGGGCTGGATTTCTTGGACACCAAGTAACATCAAAACTCCATTGGTTGGTTCTTGCTATCTCTGACAATACCTAAGTAATAAGAATGCAGCATAAAAAATAGAAACTTCCATATAATAATTAGCGATGGGAACTATCGAATGGTTACTGAATGAATGATTCCAACTATCGAATGGTTTTATTCGAATAAAATCATTCATTCATTTGTATACGAAAGCATATGCGACAACCTCGCCGTGCGACTAAATGGTAATCGTTGAGCCATGACTATCGAATGTTTTTAATAAATGAAATATTTAGTAATTCGTTTGATTTTTGTGTGCGTCAGTGCATTATTAGTTCTTCCAAATTTTTATAACTTCGCCTTGTAAATAATGTGCTATTTTTACATTTATTAAAATATTTAAAATACTAAAATAGTAGTATTTTTTAATTGACGATTGTATGTGTGTGCGGGTGATCAAAAGTTTTCCGAAAATTTGTGTGATTTTCCGTAGCCCGATCTTTCAATTATTTACTTTTATATGGTATATTGTCTATTTTTTTAATTGGAAATTTACAGAAGTAGCAATTTTTAAGAGAGATGAAGATGATAGATGTTTTAATAATATGAATTAGTTGAACTTAATAATCATATTTAAGTAATATGGTTATCGAACTCAAATTTTGCGGTCAGAAAATTAAATTGAAAGTTTTACACGTGCCAATTTAAAAAAAAAGTTAACGATATTTGTATTTTGTTTATGCTAATTCTCTTACATGTAGTTTTTTGCGAAGACATTTTTCATTTATTTTTTAAAGTAAATGCCAGTAACATAAATATTCTTTTTAAATAGTAGTATAAAGTAGGTAATAAAAAGTAATATAAATAATTTTGATTTCTAATTTTTTATTATATTTTCCTTTCATTACTGCATGCTTATAAAATTACTAAATGTTTATATTTCATGATTTTAAAATTTGTGGTTAATATAACAAATTAGTTCTGTAATTATTATTATTTAATAAACCAACGTTGCCAAAAAATTTAGAGACTATATTATTTTTAAATAGGATCTAATATAAATAATTTTAACTTCTAATTTGTTGTTGAAATGTTTATATTTCATGATTTTAAATTTTGTTGTTAATATGTATAAATAACAAATTATTACTGTTATTATTATTTATTAAACCAGTTTTTGCTTAAAAACATTAAAAATAATTTTCCTACATCCAAAATAAAAAGTATTATTGCAATGTAACAACAGAATATTAATTAAAAAGATGTAAAATATATACAGGGTGGCGCACCTCATTCGCCTCGGTTGATTATACGAAAACGGAAAGATGTAGAAACAAAATATTTTATGGGTACACGTGTGAAGACAATGTGCATAATTTAAAATTATTTTGAAATGTTCAGGGTGTGTCAGAACCAAGATCTATACCAAAGTTATGTTTTTTCTTATGGAACACCCGGTATTTTATTTCATTTTTGGATTCTTGGGCATAAAATAAGTCATTTATTATAAGGGTTTAATATGTTTAAAGTCTTTGGTTTTTGAGATATTTAAAGATATTTAAATAGGCATGCTGTAATAAAAAAGTTTGTCAACACCTCGTACATTACTTTTCAGAATTAATTTTTGTGCTGACTATCAAACCAGAGAAATAAACTTTACTAAAAAACTTGATTGCTTCCTTAAATGTATACAGGAGTATCAAAAATTGCTGGTCTATTTTAAATATTTATTTTATATAAAAACTTAAATTTGAAATAACTTACGTTATTTCCATAGATTTAGTAAGAACAGATATCACATTAGACATTTTAACCCGATCAAACAATCGGAGGTTGACTACGTACTGTAAAAACCAACTGAGATAGAGAAGGCGACATTGCCACATCTCAAATTTGCGCCTATCTACTCAGTTTGATTTGCAGAAAAGGTGACTTTAAAACCTTTACCGGATATCAATAAATCTCAATTTCTTAATTAAATTAATAGTTTATTTTTTAAAGAAGCATGCGTAATAATATGTGTTATTAACCAGAGGATATATGCGTTACTATTAAAGGACATGTTTACTGTTTAATGTGCTGAAACGTCTAGAACTATTGGCAACGTCGCTGCTAGTCTTCCAGAATGAAATGAGCCGTCCGTCCCACCACCCCTCGCGACGGCCCATGGTCCGTTATAGCGTACTACGTTTAGCTTGCGGTGTGTTTGAAGTCGGAATCAAGACGAAAGTGAACTTTCAGTTTTTTCGGTGGTTTTTGTTTTTGTTTAACGTACCTACTTTTGAATCTGCGAATTCAGTATGGTACGACAGTGTCAAGTGTGTGGAAAAATAAGCTCAAATTACCCGAATTTGTCTTTTCACAGGTGGGTATTGTTTTCGTCATTGTACATAGGTGTCCATGATAAAGAATACAAGGTATGATATTGCGCAGGTTGGTCACTACGTCACAGGTGATAAACGGCACCATTGGTCGGCAAGCTCTGCGCGCCAATTTCAAATTGTCAAACAGATGACATAATAAATGTGAAAATTATAGTAACCTGTTGTAGATCATAACAAATTTGAATATAAACGTTGCATTTGAAATTTTATTATAAGCCAGAAAGTGACATTTTTTTTTTCTTAAAATTGCGTCATTTCTGGTCATTATATACGATATTCTAAAGGAATTTTGCTCAACAAATAAACAAAGGTGTTACCCGACCTTTTTTACATTTTATTGCTTTTATTATATATGCCCCTTCGGCCTTGTTTAGACAATTTTTACCACGGTACAAATACCTCTTCCTAGAGTTATTTGTACGGTGATGTTACCTTTTTTTAGAATGGGACGAACTGTAAATAATTCTTAGGCTACTAGTTTTATACATACCTATATACAGAGTGACCCAGGCCTCCAAAAAGCTTTTTTACCTATTACTACTAGCTGCTCTCGCCATCTAGCACTCGCCATAGTAGTACCACCGTACATATGTAGTTTCACAGTGTTTGGCGGATTGTTATTCTCACATCTAAGCGTAGCCGACATCGGACGGCGTCAAGTCTGGTTCACATCTGGTGTTTCAAATTACGAGGCCGGAGCGCGAGTAAGGCATTCGAGAGTTTTTACGAGGGTTGCGCTATAGGAATCTTCAGAGAGGAAAGCACAGGGATACACCAGATTATAATATATAATATATGCTATTAGGAATGCTTTAATAAAATACGAATTACATAAGTTCACAAAATGTATTGTTAATTAATTGCATATCGTCGGTATGTAGGGGTTAGGCCTTAATAATTTTTTGCTTTTTGTATTTTGTTTATTTATACAAACCCTACCAAGCCTTGAGCTCCATCTACGGTAACGTAGATGAAGCAAACGTAATATTCATTACTATGCGACAGAAATCTCATACTGTAGCACACAGATTTGATACTTTTAATGATAAATGCCTTCTATTGAGAGACTAAAAGGTAATTGCCTCGTATCAGAGCCATCATAATACAAGAAGAAGACCGAAAGTCAAATCTTGTCTTATATTTTCAAAAAAACATTTTCTCATTAAATATTGATTATAGGTATATGAAAAGTTATTAATAATACAAGATTAAACAACTATTACACAGTACTTCACAGAAAGCTATCGATTGCGAACTAACTAAATCGTTACTAATTGCTAATTTTGAAGTTCTTTTTAAGATCAAAAAAGGTAAAACTAAAACCTAAACTATCACAGATTAAACAGAAGTTTCAAATAATGTGGCTATTCTAAAAGAAGAAAAATTTATATTATAAGTTTTATAACATCTCTAATTAAATTTGGAAAGAAAACAATATTTATTTCAGATTAAACGGGAAGTTCTAAATAATGTTGCCTATTCTAAACAAGAAAATATTTATTTATAACTTCTATAACATCTCTAATTAAATTTGGATGAAAAGAATATTTCTGTTTGCTGTAGGTAATTTTCTAAGGGAAAATACGAATATAAAAATGACTTTTTAAGTGAAAAAAAGTTAAAAGGACAAGTTATCCCAAAAAGGGCTGTCTTTTTTCAAAAAGGACAGGTGGCAACCCTAGGTATTTCTGGAATGGAAATTTAATGGCAAATCTACAACTTTGTCTAGAACAAAATGTCTAAAATGTGCTTTATCATTGCCTCCATATTCTGAAAAAAAATTGAAAGAAAAGTCACCAACCACAAACCTAATATAGAACTGTTTCGGAAGCCTGAGCCACCCTGTAAATATTCAAAAGTAACTGAAAGTTTAAATTGAAAATCGACGTTGGAGCGATTTTCGAAAACCACCTACTAACGTTTCAACATAGGTATATGTGGGATATTAATTATATTATTATATTAGACCTTATAACAAAACTCATCTGACGAAAAAGTGTTAATGTAGTATATTAATATGGAGTATAAATTTTAATAATTAATTTACTTTTACTTTAAAAATTAAATTCATTCCAAAAAACGATACGCCACTGGCCATTAGAACAGTCCAAATGCACCTAGTTGCCGGGGTCGGAAATTTTAGACTTCTCTGTCTCTTCTGTCCTCGTTTGACACATTGGAATGTTTGATACACTACCAACGAGTATTTATGAATGAGATGTTCAGTCTATCTTTATAATGTCTTTGGTTATTTCAAATACAACACTCTGTATTTGTTAAATAAATCGAAGCAGATTTAAATGCTCTTTCAAACTGTATTAGGGTTTCCTATACCTATGTGGCTCAGATTTTGAATAAAAAGCGATTTTTCAATAAAATTGTAATCAAGATGGCCATGGCAACTTTCTGGTGACAATTAGTAGCTATTTTCAAAATCGACATTAGTTTATGGACTTTATTTAAATTTATAAAAGTTTATTTTCATTTAATTTATCTACAATAAAGTTAGTAAGTAAGTATTTAATATTTTATCAAGAAAACTGAAGCAGTATCTGCTGGCCGAAGGAATGGATGTGTTACTAGTGATTTTATTTTGTGAGGACAATTGCTTGGGGGTTTGCCTGAAGGGTTTATGCTCAAAGATATCTAAATTGGAATTTTCTTGACAAGCGTACCTTTGAAAAACAACTTTCCTATTTCGCTGAGCTGATAGTGTGGTATATGAAAGACCTATTAGGCAGAAAACCTGTCGTTGGAAGTCAAGAAAATGAATTTGCCTTGATTGGTTATTTTATAGAAAATCCAATATTTATTAATACTATGCAGACAGAAATCTTCATACTGTAGCACACAGATTTGATACTTTTAATGATACAAATGCCTTCTATTGAGAAAGATTAAAAGGTAATTGCCTCGTATAAAACCATAAATAAGTTTTTATAGCGGCAAGGGAATACATTTTCGTTACCTCTTTAAAAACTTTGTTCTCTCTTTATAGTGTTTATAAACACCAAAATAAAAAACGCCCCTTTTAAGTTCATCTCTTTCTACAACGTTTGTTTGCTATATATTCTATTTCAAGTCCTTGTCATTATTATTCTGCTTGTAGTTTAAAGTTGACAGCAATGGATTTTCACTTTGATGAAAATGGCGTGTTATAATAATTATCATAACAACTTAAATACTCTGTAAGAAATCTATGAGGACTAAATTTTATTGGCACGGAAAATTTATCGAGTAATATTAACATTTTACCCTTCTTAAAACTAAAGCGCCCCCGTTTAGTCAACTCAAATATAATTTATTTTGTGAAAACCAAAAAATTAAATTTAAGTCTCATGATTTGTTTTTTTTTGCAAATAAACTGCGCAACATTTCTTAAGCCCATGCTTTTGAAAAAATACGTCTTAAAGCTTCGGTAATATTGCTTAAAATGCAATATTCTTCTTTTTTGTGTAAGTACAACAACACAAATATAAAATGGCCGCCTTATAAAAGGACGTCATGTTCGCCATTTCGCCTTTTAAAAACCTCTAGTTTTATATGGGCCTTTAAGTAATCATCAACACTTTAAAAACTCTTATAATACTTCCCTAGGTGTCATGGGAATTTTGCTCTTCCAATAAAACCTGAGGTGCTTTTGTGATACTTAATAGTTTTATAAGTTACCAAAAAGATTTTTATAGAAACTTGACCATTGACTATAACCCCACTTTTTGTTTCGGGCGCTTTGGCTTTTGCAAAACAATTTTTTAGTCAAAATAATTAAAACAAAACCCTTCAATACACTTCAAAATTGTCCAAACCACAGAAGATGGAAAATCAACACCGTCTTTGAATCTATACATTCTTCCAAAGGTCCTCTGCCCCTTCCTTCATCGGTGCTGTGATTCAGTCGAAGTATTTAAGTAATATATCTTCTTGAGAAATGTCTAAGTTTTGGTAATTTTTAGTAGTTGTGGGTGGTGTGCTTCCCAAAATATTTTCGCGGGTTTAAACGCACTTTCTATAAAAACTGCTAATGTATTTAATTTTTTTCCAATTTTTTCTTTCTACTTCCATCTTTGATTTACAAAAGCAAAACAGGAACATAAACATAACTTAACCCTTAAAAAATATAGCGCCCCTATTCTACACATGAAAGGAGCGTTGCTACTGAGCCTATAAGTTTATAAAATTCTTTTAGGTTTTGTAGTAGCTGTAGAATGTTTATTAGGTGCCTTAGGATTTATAAGGCAACTTTTTACGAAGTAAGCTATAAAACTCCAAGAGTAAAAGTTTTTATAATATGGTTTTAAGAACGCTATAAAACCCTTTTTAAAAAACCTTAAGTAACCAATACCAAAGGTTTTATAAATCAGGTAACGAAAACATTTTTGGATGCAATATTATAAAACTTCAAGTATTTTGGTATTTTTTCGAGGTGTTACAAAACTTTTAACACCAATAGTGTTCTTATAAGACTTTAAACACTCTTATAAATATTAAGGTTCCTTATAGACCTCTTATAAATATCCGTTACCTTTTAATAAAACTTTAGGCTCCGAAAAATGTTACTTGGGTAGTGATTTTATTTTGTGAGGACAATTGCTTGGGGGGTTTGCCTGAAGGGTTTATGCTCAAAGATATCTAAATTGGAATTTTCTTGACAAGCGTACCTTTGAAAAACAACTTTTCCTATTTCGCAGAGCTGATAGTGTGGTATATGAAAGACCTATTAGGCAGAAACCTGTCGTTGGAAGTCAATAAAATAAATTTGCCTTAATTGGTTATTTTATAGAAAATCCAATATTTCTACAAATCATGGTAATATAAATCAAAAAGAACTACTTCTTTATTTTTCTTGATAAAATAATGAATAGTTACTTATTAAACTATTGTAGAAAAAATAAATAAAAGTAAACTGTTATAAATTTAAATAAAGTCCATAAACTAATGTCGATTTTGAAAATAGCTACTAAGTTTCACTAGAAAATTGCCATGATTGCCACACCAGCCATCTTGATTACAATTTTATTGAAAAATCGCTTTTTCTTCAAAATCTGAGCCTCATAGGTATAAGAAACCCTAATACAGTTTGAAAAAGCATTTAAATCTGCTTCGATTTATTTAAAAAAATACAATGTTGTATTTGAAATAACGAAGTTTTTATGTAAAATAAATACTTAAAATAGACCAGCAATTTTTGATACCCCTGTATACATTTAAGGAAACAATACAATTTTTTAGTAAAGCTTATTTCCTTGGCTTCAAAGTCAGCACTAGAATTAACTCTGAAAAGTAATGTACAGGGTGTTGACAAACTTTTTTATTATAGCATGCATATTTAAATATTTTTACATATCGCAAAAACCAAAGCATTTAAACAATTAAACCCTGATAATAAATGCCTTATTTTATGCCCAAGAATGTAAAAATGAAATAAAATACCGAGTGTTCCATAAGAAAAAATATAACTTTGGTATAGATCTTAGTTCTGACACACTCTGTACATTTGAAAATATTTTTAAATTATGCACATTGCCTGTCTACATATACCCATAAAAAATTATATTTCTACATCTTTCCGTTTTCGTATAATCAACCGAGGTGAATGAGGTGCGCCACCCTGTAAACATACTATGCGTAACTAACTAATACCAATACTTCTGCCAATACCAAAAAAAATATTCTTTGCTAATACCAATATATCCACAGCGCCCTTCATAATGTATTTTCTGTATAAATACTAGCACCTCAATAAAAAAAAATAATGTGTCCTTATCTGACTCCGCAAAAAATCAAAGATGCCGGCTTCTTTCGGAAGGAGACCTACGTCGCCGGGCGACAACTAAAATCCAGATTATATTTTATTATAATCGATCCTGACGAATAAATGAATTTTATAAATGAATGGTTTTTGCTGCCGAATTACTAGAATACAATATTTCAAGGCAGATGACGCATCTATTCGATAATTTTTATTCGAATGAATTGCAACTATCGAATGTTTCGATAGTTCCCACTACTAATAATAAACTAATTTACTTCTCCATTTGATTGTCCTGAATTGGGGTTCCAACAAAGAATTCTATCATCTTTACCACAGCTAACAAGCAGATCTGAATCATCAGTACACCAAGATATCGCTAGGACGCCTCTCTGATGATTTTCTAACGTTTTTAAGGGAGACGTAGCAAAACGGAGATCCCACATTTGTATAACAGGTGAATGATCTTCCTCTGCATGAAACTCTTTTTACTATACGAATAATATTACAAAACATAATATTTACCTGAAGCAAGGCAAAGTTGAGTAGCTACTTCAGGATGCCAAGTTACCATTTTCCATCTAATTCTAGACACTGTGTCGGCGAGTTTGATAATAGGTTCGTTTTTACGCAAATCCCAAATTACACACTTTGAGGCGAAAGATGAAGCTAGAATATGCTGAACTTGCTTATTCCAAGCTACAGATAGAACATCTTCTGAAGGTTGAGTCTTGGCACCTAAATGAGCATTTCAATACTATTTTTTTTTTCTATAAAACTAGATATTAATTATATACTCACTTAAAGATCCTGTTTGAGTATATAAAAAAATAAATGGTCTTTTTAAGTTTGTTAATTAATTAGGATTATATTTAAAACTTGTTTTAGACACTGTTTTAAACTACGTAGTGTAGATGGCGCTCAAAATTAAAAAGTAGGTTGAGCAATGATAAGCAGGGTTCGGAAGTAGTTAATTAAGACGTGATTGACTGATCAAATACGTGTATTTTTCTGCAAAAACTACGTCTTTTCTCGTTCATTAACTACATGAAAACTACTTTAATAAACTACATATTGTTTCCCCAAAAATATCCTATATGGGTATTTCACCACAGCAAGAAAATCTACAAAATAAAATAGTTATTTTTTCTAAACACTGATGCGTTAGTCCAACGGAAACTACTTGTCAGCAGTTAGGTTTACAGATAAACAAATTTGCCTAACGAACAAAAAAATGCTTAACGCCTCGGAAAAGTTATCTCTTTCCGTCATCGGAAGCAAAAAAATACAAAGAATCAAGAAAAAAACTACTTAAAATATTTAAATGCAACTATTCAAGAACACTTTAGTTTTTGTTAAAACAGATACGTTTACAAAAACCGTTGATGTTCTGTTTAAGTTGTAGGTTTTTTTGTAGACGTATTTGTGTTTACAAAAAATAACTTATTTTATTTTGTAGATTTTCTTGCAGTGAAATACCCATATAGGATATTTTTAGAGAGATGAATCCGCCACATAGGTATAGACATTTTTTACATATTGTTATTACGATAGAAAAACAATCTTATAAATTAAAATGTTAATCTTGATAAAACATGTAAGGCATAAATTATTTATTTAATTAAAGAATTTTCAATTCGCATAAAAAAACAGAATATAATGGATAACACAATATACCAAAATTATTATAAAATACAAAAACTCAAAAAAAATTAATATAACCAAATTACAAATATAAAATATCATAAGATTTTAATCTCATCTAGTTAATAATCTTTGTCAAGACTTTGTAGAAAGTATATTTTTCCACTTGATTTATAATATGGTTGTAATATATATCAGTTAATCATTTTCCTCATAATGCGGTGTCTACAGGGTGTCCCATTTTAGTTGAAATCATACGGAATCTCCATTATTAGTAAAGATAGGAGGATGCGGTTTGCACAAACCTATCCCATTTTTTTGTCAAACGGAAGATGCTGTCAACAAATTTTTTATAGCCCTCTTCGTTTCTGAGCTACAGGGTCTTTTCGAAAATTTTGCAATTTGGGACAGTCTCCATATCTCCGTTACTATGGATGATATCGAGAAGGTGAAAACTTATTCTTGTAGAACTTTTTACGTAGAATATAGTTAAGTAGTCTGTTTTTCTACAAAAAAAATATTTTTGAAGATAAGAACTAAAGTTATGTTTTTTCAAACCTGTATATTTATAAATCATATGATTCGCCTTGCTATGAGCTTCTCGAAAATATATATCACTCTATATTTATTTTCACTATTTACTGCAATATTTAAAACATAACTTTAGTTCATATTTTTAAAAATATTATTTTCGTAGAATAACAGACTACACTACTGTATTCTACATAAAAAGTTCTACAATAAACAGTTTTCACCTTCTCGATACCTTTAACAGTAACAGAGATACAGGGGGTGTCCCAAATTGCAATATTTTCAAAAAGACCCTGTAGCTCAGAAACGAAAAGGGCTATGAAAATTTTGTTTACGGCATCTTTCGTTTGACAAAAAAGTGGCACAGATTTGTGCAAACCGCATCCTTCTATCTTCACGTATAACGGAGATACCGTATGATTTCAACTAAAATGGGACACCCTGTACATAATTTTTGACACCAATGCTATATTTAAAGCCATATTTCCTCTCTTTTCTAAAGTTTCAACTTTAGAAAGTTCAACGACATCTTCAACTTGTTATAACCTCAATCCTGCCTCAAATCTTTGACATTTGAAAGATACATAAACTACAGTATCTACGTCAATTAACTACATGTAATGTAGTTTATGCAGTTTTTAAAAGTAACCCGTAATTTTCCGAACCCTGATGAAAAGGCAGCAAAAATACAAGTAAAATTTATTTACTCCCCAGAGCTGTAGCACAGAATAATAGGCTTGGGATTAAGCAGCATGTTTTTATTAGTTCTGTTACCAAAGTTAGGTACTTTTTTTCTATTATAATCAGTTGATTTTTTTCTAGACAATAGATTAAGGTGATTACCTTGTTTTTTAAACCTTTTCTATTACCATTTTTATTAAATAGTTCAAAAAATTCTTTCTTGTACTCTTATTATTCAATAAAAATACTCTTACACACCAAACACCTTTAAAACAGAGTTTTAAACATGTTTTAAGCAGTTTTAAATAAATACGTAAAACAACAAAATAAGAACCCTGATTAATGTCACAATTACCTGGTGACATTGGAGTTGATGTGTTATTTAAATCCCAAATGAATATTTCAGATTCTCCAGCTCCCGTGGCAAATAAATTCTGCTGAAAACAGTTAAAATCCAAAGCATGAACAGGTCCGGTATGTTTCTGTTGTTTTCCAATTAAAGCTTCAGTTGACTTCAATAATTTCGAAGCGCTAAAATTTTTTCTATGTAATAAGAAAACCTTAGTATTTTAGAGAATATACACCTATAAATTTGTATTACACCATCATCACAACCTCCAATAATGGTTCCTGCTGGATTATTACCTGCCGAGCCCCATATTATCTTGTGAAATCTAGATTCTGTCGACAAAGAGGAGACTAACTGGGTGTCTGGTCCAGGTTCAGTAATATTTAATGCATATATTTCTAGACCTGGAAATATAAAATTAAATAAATTGAACTCCAGATTAAAATTGGTATATTACTGGCATTAGTGCTAAACGAGGCATCTAACTGTTGGGCTGCTGTGCCTGCCGCCACGTAAATAGGATAACAACTTTTGGGGGACCAGGCTACATTGGCTGTGCGCTCAATGTCCTTTACCTTCATGTTTTTTTAAATATATAAAACCTGTGAAAAATATAGAGTACTGGAACATACAGCAAACATTTATACAACTTTATTTAATTAAATTAATACCTTCTTAACAAAAATAACTAATCATTTAAGGCACCCACAATACTATTTACAAATTTGTCACTTCCAACGTGGCTCATATGACATTTTTTGACGTTGCGGCTTCAGCTGATGAAAACACGTCAACATTATTTACAAAACCTTTTAAAAATGTTAAACTTTAAATCTTAGTCGTAGATATTTAAACAGACACTTATTCTACATAGCTAATTATTTGTAATACTTATTCCGACTTATTAATCAAAATAAACTTTAAAACTAATTCAAATTTTGAAAAACAAATAATTTTAATTTGACAATACAATTGACATATCATATGATTGACAATTTACGTGAAGGAAGTTATACAGCAATCTATTTGCCTATTTCAATCTTTCACTCATAGATGGCAACTGATATGTTTATTCAATTTATTCAATTTTATCAACATGTCAAGAAAACAATTGAAAATTGTTCAAGTTTAACAATTTTTTATTCGCAAAGAGTAAACGAATTACTTTTATATTTTAGTGTAAAAACTTGAAGCCATCTTGAAGCATAAAGAACCGATAATTTAAAAATGGAGTCAGATGAATTTGGAACGTCCCAAGAAAATGAGAATATATTAAACGACTTTATATCCGCTGTTGAACATCAATATTCACAGGTATTTTATATTATTACACTTTTTATTAATGGCTACTGTGTTCAATACCAGTTATAATATTATGTATAAATGTAAATAAAGTAAATATTGAACTAGATTTTACTATTTTGAATAGAACTTTTTTTTTCTTTATCGCACCCAATGTTAAAGCTAAGTTACCTAATCCTCTTTTATGTAGTGTCGCATTGTTTTTTTTACTCAATTGTATGACTATTTTGCACCTATTCTAAAGATCTAACTAGCATTCTTAAAATGTCCTAAAAATTGTCAAGATCTTGGGTGAGGAACTTTAATAAGCGCATCGGCATAGGGGCCTCATAGGGGCCAAAATGCAATAATATGACAGTATCAACACAAAAATATAAGGAATATCTACGTTTCAGCATGGTTTCAGCTGCTACAATCATACAGATACAGAGTAACATTTATTCCGTTTTTTAGTTTGAAGTCGCAAATTTTTTCATTTGCAAAATATAGGGGAAATGGTAGCGTATGATTTAAATATATTTTTCTATATTTTTTAACCGAACTTATTTGTGTGTAGTTTTTAAATGTATTTTTGAATGCTTTTTGTATCGATGGGTTTGCTATTAAATTTTATACAGGGTGCAACTATACACTATACAGGGCGGCCCGGTGGCGCACTTCATTCGACTCGGTTGATTATACGAAAACGGAAAGATGTAGACACAAGATATTTTATGGGTATATGTGGGAAGGCAATGTGCATAATTTAAAATTATTTTGAAATGTACAGAGTGTGTCAGAACTAAGATCCATACCAAAGTTATATTTTTTCTTATGGAACATCCGGTATTTTATTTCATTTTTTGATTCTTGGACATAAAATAAGGCATTTATTATACGGGTTTAATATTAAAGCTTTGGTTTTTGAGATATATAAAGATATTTAAATATGCAGCTATAATAAAAAGTTTGTCAACACCTTGTACATTACTTTTCAGAATTAATTCTTGTGCTGATTTTCAAGTCAGAGAAATAAACTTTACTAAAAGTTTTATTGCTTCCTTAAATGTATACAGGGGTTTCAAAAATTGCTGGTCTATTTTAAATATTTATTTTACATAAAAGCTTCATTATTTCAAATGCAACACTATGTATTTTTTTAAATAAATCGAAGCAGATTTAAATGCTCTTTCAAACTATATTGCTAACCTATCTGGCTCAGATTTTGAATAAAAAGCGATTTTTCAATAAAATTGTAATCAAGATGACTGGTTTCGCCATGAAAATTTTCTAGCGACACTCAGCGCTATTTTTAAAATCGAGATTAGTATATGGACTTTATTTAAATTTATAACAGGTTATTTTTATTTAATTTACCTACAATAAGATTAATAAGTAAGTATTTATTATTTTATCAAGAAAAGCGAAGCACTATCTGCTGGCGGAAGGAATGGATATGTTACTAGTTATTTTATTTTATTAAGCGAAGAAAATAAATTTGCCGTAATTGGTTCTTTTATAGAAAATCCAATATATTTACAAGTCATCGTAATATAAATCAAAGAAAAACTACTTCTTTATATTTCCTAATAAAATAATAAAAACTTTTGTAGGAATTGTAGGTAAATTAAATAAAAGTAAGCTATTATAAATTTAAATAAAGTCCATAAACTAATGTCGATTTTGAAAATAGCTACTAACTGTCACTAGCAAATTGCCATGGCGACACCAGTCATCTAGATTGCCATTTTATTGAAAAATCGCTTTTTATTCAAAATCTGAGCCAGATAGGTATAGGAAACTCTAATATAGTTTGAAAAAGCATTTAAATCTGCTTCGACTTATTTTAAAAAAATACATAGTTTTATATTTGAAATAACGAAAGTTTTTATGTAAAATAAATATTTAAAATAGACCAGCAATTTTTGATACCCCTGTATACATTTAATTAAGCAATAACATTTTTTAGCAAAGTTCATTTCTCGGACTTCAAAGTCAGAACAAGAATTAACTCTGAAAAGTAATGTACAGGGTGTTTGGTTTGGTTTGGTTGCGACAAACTTTTTTATTACAGCATGCATATTTAAATAGCTTTAAATATCTCAAAAACAAAAGCATTTAAACATATTAAACCTTTATAATAAATGCCTTATTTTATGCCCAAGAATCCAAAAATGAAATAAAATAGCGGGTGTGTTCCATAAGGAAAAATATAACTTTGGTATGGATCTTAGTTCTGACACACCCTGTACATTTCAAAATAACTTTAAATTATCCACATTGCCTCTCTACATATACCCAATAATAAAAAAAATTGTTTCTACATCTTTCCGTTTTCGTATAATCAACCGAGGCGAATGAGGTGCGCCACCCTGTATATGCAGCTATACAGGGTCCGGCAATAGTGCTTCGGGCGTCTGTAGCTCCTAGAATAAAAAACTTGAGAATATATATGTACCAGGATGTATTTCCGGAAAATATTTTAACTTTTATAGGGTGGCTCAAAAAAGTGTGAGTGCAAAAAAGTATGAGCCAAAAATGCAATAATATACAGGGTGTTCCATTTAAAAAAAAACCATCCCGATCTACTCACACTTTTTTGAGCCACCCTACAGAAGTTAAAATATTTTCCTGAAATACATCCTAGTATAATACATACTCTAGGTTTGCACTTAAACAAAATTCCCAAGTTTTTTATTCTAGGAGCTACAGATGCCCGACGCACTATTGCCGGATCCTGTACAGGGTGTTTCAAAAAACATGTGCATATGTGAGGAGATTTCTCACGTAAAAATAAGAATTATTCTTCATATCAACATAGGTCCGATTCTGCTTTGTTTCGTAGCTACAGGGTCTTAAAGTCTTAGTATTTTTTCGATTTATTTATTTATTATAATTTTCTTTCAAGTACTTTTAGCATTTCGAATGAATTTTTAAGGGTAAAAGTTACTATAAATGCTACATATTTTAATGCTAAAAAAATGGAGATAAATTCATCAGGGGCGTGCATATTGGTTATCACTAGAATATTTTTCAAAAAAAAACATGTGCGCCACTGACTTTTTTCTTTTGATATCAAAATTGGGTAGGGCGTTTAATGCCAATTAATAGTTATCTCTTGATATTTTGTCGAATTCGGCCTCCTTGATGAGATAAACGCAATTTTATTAATCACAATTAGTAAAATCAAATAAAAATAAAATTAGTAAAGTATATATTTTACATTTATTATTAAATATTATCACTATTAATTATTATTACTATTAGTCCAACCTACAGCAATTTCAAATAAAAAAAAATGGTATTTAAGATAAAACATAATTTTAAAAAGTTTCAATATCCTGTAACTCTAAAACTATTAGAATGAGTGGGAGGGGGTTAATCACCGCGACCCTACTTGAACAAGAATTATAACTCATCACATAGTTCCAGGGCTTTGACAAAAGCCAGATCTGGGACTGTTTTACAGAGGGTAGTTCTCCATCTCCAATATCAGTCGTACCAAAGTTTCATGGCAAGAATGGTTGTCGTCTCGGCGCACTCAGCGATGAGGTGTTCTGGTGTTTCCCCATTTTCCCCACAGAATCTGCATTCGCCGTTTTTTCTTAGTTTCAATCTACTGAGGTGTTCATTGAGGAGACAGTGCCCTGTTAAAAACATGGTGACAATCCGAAGATTGTTCTTACTTAAATCCAGGAAGATCTTTGATTTTTCTTGGTCGTAAGCCCTCAGAAACTTGTTCGAGTGTCTTAAGGTTGTCGCCCACTAGACAGCGGCCGGCGCGGCGCGGCGTTGGGAAGATAATTTTTTCCGGCTTCGAAGGGACTGCGCTCATTATAGCGCGCTTTTGAAACGCGGAAACGCTATTTAGTTAGTCGAAGTGATTTTTACTTACTGTAGTTTAGTTTTTAAAGCAATGAGTTCAAGTACGGACGAAAGCGTATTTTTTGTTCTCTTCTAAGAGAGGAAGAGGAAGAGCAGGTGAAGAAGAAAAGGAAAGTTTGGACTCATAAGATTAACAAAAAAAGAAAGAAGTTTGGAGAATTTGACCATCTTTTTCCTGATTTAATAAAAGACAAGAGCATTTTTTTCAGTATTATAAAATATAAGGGAACATTTTACGAACTCTTCAATAATTGAGGGTCTTAGAAGCAAAACACCGGGTATCTCTACTCATCATATTTTTTCAGAAGAGAAAAATTACTAATAATGCAATAATGAATCGCTTATAACGGATGACTTTTGATAATTCTTATTTATTCTGATGTGTATATTAGCCTATTAGTTATGTGTTAAAAAAACCCTATTCTTTTTTATATATTTAGGTAATTTGAATTTAAAAATTGGAGATTGTCACTTTTGTCAAAAAGTGGAAATTGTCGGTTTTGCTTCTACACCCCTCAATCATATTAAATCTTTGATAGAAAAACATTTCGTCCATCTGTCTCTAGTGAGGGAAGACTAAAAAAAATATATTTCTTTATGAAAATCTGTTTGCCTAATTTACCTTAAAAATACAATTCTACAATTGATACGTATCACTAGTTCCTAGTCAAAAAGTCAATTGAAGAGACTCGAGATGCAAAATTATTTCCGTTGTGAGTACGCACACTGCCACGCGCCGAAACGCGGGAGACAGGAAAAAGTTGCTAGAGAAGTCTTCCGACTTCTTGACGGAAATTCCGCGGCGCGCTCTTATGTGCGTTGCGTTGGTCCCTTTAAATACATAAGCAGACAAAAGAAATCTCCACATGGCGCCGCGCCGCGGTCTAGTGGGCGACAACCTTTAGACCGCTGCCGCTGCCAGATTCTCATTTCAGGTTGCGGATGGAGTCTTTCAAGTTCTTGAGTTCCGCTTTTAATTGGTTTGGTTGCGCTTTTAATTGATTTAATTGGTTAGTGTTACTAAGGGTAAACGTTACTATAAATGCCACATATTTTAAAGCTAAGAAAGTATCGACATATTCACCAGGGACGTGCATATGTGTTATCACAGGAATATTTTTCTAAAAAGAAACATGTACGCCACTGACTTTTTTTCGCTTGTTGGCGAAATAGTGTAAGCAGTTTAATGCTGATTAAAAGTTTTATATATTTTGTCGATTTCGCCCTCCTTGATGAGATAAACGCAATTTTATTAATTTGCTTAGCTTAGAAGTTTAATAGCAACCTTTAAAAAATATAATATCATTAATTTGCAAAAGTTTTAAATACGTACTCATTGATTCCTCATCAAAATATATGAAAAAAAGTTTCTATAAACATGGATATCGAAATGCATAGTTTTAAGAGTTACAGGATATTGAAACTTTTTAAAATTATGTTTTATCTTAAATACCATTATTTTTTTATTTGAATTTGCTGTAGGTTTGACTAAGAGTAATAATAATTAATAGTAATAATATTTAATAAAAGTTAGGTAAAATATATACTTTACTAATTTTATTTTTATTTAGATTTGACTATTACAGTTGAGGGTTGGAACCCTCAACTGTAATAGTCAAATTTGATGAGGAATCAATGAGTACGTATTTTATTTTTATTTTCGTAGCTTATTTAATTTTTATTTTGCTTTTTAGATTTGACTAATTGTGATTAATAAAATTGCGTTTATCTCATCAAGGAGGCCGAATTCAACAAAATAGCAAGACATAACTATTAATTGGCATTAAACGCCCTACACAATTTTGATATCAAAAGAAAAAGTCAGTGGCGCACATGTTTTTTTTTGAAAAATATTCTAGTGATAACCAATATGCACGCCCCTGATGAATTTATCTCCACTTTTTTAGCATTAAAATATGTAGCACTTATAGTAACTTTTACCCTCAAAATTTCATTTGAATCACTAAAAGTACTCGCAAGAAAATTATAATAAATCGAAAGATTATTAAAATGTTAACAACCTGTTAAAATCTTAATTTAATAATGCTTAAATAAGCTACGAAACAAAGCAGAATCGGACTTGATATGAAAAATAAATCTTATTTCTACGTTAGCAATCTCCCCACGAGAGATGGCACATGTTTTTTGAAACACCCTGTATATGCACCTCATACGCAGAAGCCCCAAGGAGAAAAACAGTATGTATTGAAATGAAATTTTGTGAGCATATGTATGTAGGTTAATTTAGAGCATATTCTAAAAATGCATAGACTTCTACAGGGTGTCGACAAAAAAGTTCCACATCAAAGTCAATTTTTTTTTAATGGAATAGTAAAACGCGCAATGTTGGTTGGATTGTAAGACAGCGTTCTCTAGCGTCTACTATTAAATGCTTATTATTATAGTTTATATGGTATAGCATGGAGTAAGAAACGTTGTTTTAAATGAGCCAGACCTTCCCTCACCACTTCATTTTAGTAGATAGCTCAAAATTGTTTAAATAAAAAAATCCGAAATTTGTTTAAGATTATGACGCTATACTACCTCTTATTTATGTAGAATTTTGTAAAAATTCCATTTTCCTATTTGCCATAGTAGTTCGGCCCTCTAGCGGCTATTCTACAAAATTAGAAATAAATTCGGATAGACTTTAGAAAAAAATAGCCTTTTGCCGCTAACGCTTCGCTAAAAACATTGAGCGCGTTCAGGGGACACAGCTGCTGACTGACCGCTGATGATTTTGCGCAGCGGCTGATCATCTAACCATTTTTGTGTGTAAAAATAGGCCGTTCAGGGAAGTCGCTTACTCAGCCACTCAGCCGCTGATAGACGGAGAGCTGGCTACATAAAAAAAACCTTATCATTGTTACATTTCTTACTAATTTTTCTTGTGAGGTATTCTTTTGTATTGCCATTATGAAATAGTCATGTCTGCCAGCGCGATCCCGGAGCTTAAAGCGGGGGCGGCCAATCGAAAGGGTGAAATTTTGACACTAAAAATATTATCAGGTACACGAGTTATAATTACCAAATAGCTTTTTATTAGCCAAATAGCCAAAAGCAAATTTATTATTAAGAAACGTAAAATATTGTTGGCAGACATTTTTCTCGTAGCTAAAAGGCCGGCAGATAACACAAAAGAGGCATGAAATTTTTTCCAAAGGCAATAATTTAAAAAAAAATACATGCATGCCGAGTGGTGGAATGTCATATTTATTTATTTTAAAAGCCGTATACAAAAGGGCAGACAAAAAGATCGTGGCTCAGTCAGCAGTAGACAGTTATCAAAAGTGATATTACTCTCTACAAAGTGAGTCTTAAATAAGTGCAAATATTTTCAGAGCTGGTAGATCTCGATAAAACAAACATATTTTCTCTTTACCGTTTTCCAAATAAGTCCAATATAACAGAGTTATTCAAGTTTGAAAATTTTAAAAGAAATTGATTTATTTTAAAATAACTTTGTGAGACACCTGTTTTTTTTCTGTATTTGCATCCATTCTTTTAGTGTCGTAACCACAGAGTAAAGCCATAACCATGGTAGGTTAAGAAATAAGTACGCAAATTTACCCACGGTATAACATGGGTAAATTTGCAGTGAACAGGCAATTCTAAAAAGTTTTCTAAAATACACAGAAAAATTTAAAAAAATGCACGATGTTCTACATCTTTTTTTGAAAAAAAAACCCATAGAGGTGTTCCTGGAGTCGAAATATATCACCCCTAAAAGTATTTACACTTATTTATGACTCACCCTGTATAGAGTCAATTGAGACAATACATATAATTCTAGAAACATTTTATGGTAATGCAGAATTATGATAATATCTGACGTATGATAATATATACGTTTATATATACATCTATCAGACGTATGATAATATCTGTTTTGGAAATAATAAAAAAATATATTTATATAATCGTATGCATTTATATAATCGCATACATGATGTATCAATATTTAAAATTTGTCTCCGGAAAAGATTCATGCCTCTTTCGTGTTGTGTGCCGGCATTTTAGCCACGAAAAAAATGTCTGCCAACAATTTTTCACGTTTCTTAATAATAAATAAAAGCTATTTGGTAATTATAACTTATAACATTATAACATTTACCTTATACCTTATAACATTTTTAGTGTCAAAATTTCACCCTTTCGATTGGCCGCCATCGCTTTAAGCCCCGGGTTCGCGTTGGCAGACATGACTATTTCACAATGGCTACTTCACAAAAGGATACTTCACAAGAAAAATTAGCCATGTAACGATGATAAGGTTTTTTTATGTAGCCAGCTCTTAGATTATGACCTACCCTAAATGCGCCCATTGTCATCGGCATGCGGCATATGGTATGGTAAAAAAACCGTTAAAACTGTGTTTATTAGTAAATAATAATAAATTTGAATCAGTTTTAATCAACAAAACACACGTCTATCGATTAAAATGTATTGATGTATTGAGGTAAATTAGTGTTTTATTTTGTAGAAACGTCATAACATTAAAAATAACCCATTTTACAAATGTGTAGTACTCTAAAATAATGTTAATTTGTTATTCTGTTAATTTATTTTAGATAAATGAAACTAGATCGGCCACCTTTCAGCAAGTGAAGCAACTAAGTTCAAAATTGGAAACATTGGGGAAAACAGATATTGTTTCAAAAATTGAACAAAAATATTTTATTGAAAATATACCTCCCTACCTCGAAATAGTTTTAAGTTATATAACAAAAATTGGCATAACTAATTTAAAAAAATATAAAAAATATATTAGTATGTTCCTAAATATAATCAAAGAGGTAATATCAAATACTTCGTTTAAAAATCAATTTGTCATTGGTGCATCGACAAATATTTTAAACTTATTTGTGTTTGAGGACTTTGACTTTGTAATTAAAGGGAGCATATTGTGTTTGTTCAATGAAATAATAGCAGGTTCCAGAAAGGATGTTCGTCTTGCAACAGCAATCAATATGCAGGAGTATTTGTAAGTAAATGCCGTAAATTAATGTTTATTTTATATTTTTTACATAATTTAAAAAATCGGGGTCAAATTACCATAGAAATGACGATCGATGGCATTTACTCTATAATTTTTGTATATGTAACCGGTCATTATTTTTAATGTAACTTGACGCCATTTTTTCGATCATACATATACATACATACATACTGCCATTACTCGCTGACGAGTATTTGACACGCATCAGAAGATGGTCACGCAAGGCGTTTTCTTTCATGAGCCTTTCTGTGACTGAAAAGCCCAATACGTGATGTTATTTGTCTACCGCACTCCGGACATTCAAAAATCTCATTGCTTTGTTGCCTCTTAACTTTTTGGTATTTTTGTTTATTCTACTGAAGGGTAGCACCACCTAGTACATTAAAACTTGATAAGTTCATCTTAAAATAGCAGACAACTGAGTTCTATTGTGAGCTGTACTTCCCACTCATTCTGCACATTAATCCCCTTTAAGTTTTCGTGGAAAATGTCCTTGTACCTTTTGAGTTGTCCACCTGGCCTCCTCTTACCGTCTACAAGCTCACCGTAAAGCAGTGATTTTGGTATGCGGTTTTCTTGCATTCTGCATACGTGACCAGCCCATCTTAGTCGGGATTTTGTAACCATGACTTCAATACTCTCGCAGTTAGCTTTTTCAAGAACCGATACGTTTGAGACGTGATGGAACCATTTGATTCTTAAGAGTTGTCTAAGGTGTCTCTGTTGCAGCTTTTTTAATGCGTTCATGTGTCGGCGGTACGGCACCCAGGTTTCGCTCCCATATAACATGGTGGGGATTATTATTGCTCGGTACACTGCAAGTTTCGTTTTTGTGCTCAGGTTATGGTTGTAAAAAAGCCTGTCTTTTAATTTCCAGAATGCTCTTGAAGCGCTGCTAATCCTGTGCTGAATTTCAGAGTCGATATTGGCCTTTTCCGAAATCAAACTGCCGAGATAATTGAATTCCGCTACATATTCCAGTAGTTCTCCGATTTTTATAGCATTGTTGTGATCTTCCGGGGGAGTGCACATGATTTTAGTTTTGTCGATGTTTAGCTTAAGGCCCAAAGCCTCGTATGCCCAGGTATATATGTTCAACATTTCTTGTAATTGTTGTACAGTTTTTGCAACTAGAGCCCAATCGTCAGCGTATTGAAGTTCTGTGATGAATTTTGTACGTGTTTTTGCCCTGAGTCTTTTTATGTTAGACCGCCATCATATCTGTATTTAATGCCCAGTCCTCTCTCCTGCAATTTGCTGTCCACTATAATGGAGAGTGGAAAATATGGAATCGACGGTGCCGCGGTTAGTGCGAAAACCCGTTTGCGATTCTGGAAGAATTTTTTCTATATGTGGGTGCAGGCGGTTTGACATAATTTTTGCAAGAATTTTTCCGCCGATAGCCAAGAGTGAAATTCCCCGGTAGTTTCCACAGTCTGATGCACTGCCTTTGTTCTTAAATATATTCACTATATTTGCGTTGCAAAAGTCCTGAGGTACATCTCCGCTTTCCCATATGACATCGAAGAGAGCTTTAAGATGACCAATAAGTTCTTTACTTGCACACTTATAGATTTCCGCCGGAATCGCGTCACAGCCCGCTGATTTGTTGTTTTTAAGCTGTTTTATGGAGGCCTTTATTTCCTGCTCTGTTATTGGGATATCTAATACATCGAGGCTGTTATACTGAGGTATTGTGTTTAGCGCTTCCATATTGGGGTTATTTTCTTGGTTAAGGATATGGCTGTAATGCTCTTTCCAGCGGTTTCTGATTTGCTCTTCCTCTTTTAGAAGTTCGCCATTTTGTGCCATGATTGGGCAGCTTGCCTTCTTGGTTGGGCCGTACACTTCTTTTACAGCCTCGAAGAATTTACGGTAATCGTGATGCGTGGCGTACTCTTGAATCTGATTAGCTTTCTGTGACCACCAGTTATCTTTTAGTTGACGTAGTTTTCTCCGAAGCGTGTTGTTGGCTGCTTTAAAGTTGTCTACCAGCCTTGGGTTGTGTGGATTTGCAGTAACTGCTTGATGTGCTCTATACTTTTTTTCCAACAAAGCCTGCATATTAGGTTGATTTTCGTTAAACCAGTCTGGTTGTTTCTTTTTGTTGGATTTTCCCAGAACAGCTTCGCTGGTTTTATGAATCGCATCCCTTAATTGTGTCCAGCCTTGTTCGGCTTCCAATATTGAGATTGAAGTTATCGGTGGAAGTGATTCTTTGGTGGCTTCCCGGAGGGCGTCGGCGGTATTGTTGTTCTCTAGACCCCGTACGTTCAATCTGGTCATGTTGTTTTGCTTTTTACAGTGTGGATGTTTGGGTTTTAACTTGTGAGAGCCCCCCCGTTTTAGAGAGAGGTCACTGACGTCGAGTTGCCTTGGTTCGGTTCCTCGGGCGCCATCCCAATGTTTAAAGTGTTTGAGAGAACACTAGTGTCTATACGGGTAGCCTTTATACAGTGGAGATACCAGGGAGTGATGAGATGAAAAGAAAATAAAACACACAATCAACTATAACGTAACACTAGGCTTTTATTTAACTAATGAATTATGTACAAAAATAATACAGGAAGGTTCATGTCCTCGAATCGTAACAACAGTGAAATAAAATGTATATTTAAAGACCCGTAAAGTAAAGTTTACAATAATAAAAATAAAGTAAATATCTAGCACCTCGCAGCACAAAATTTACACTAACAACCGTGTACCTCTAGAGTTTTGATCGACTATTCCCGATATGCAACTCTCTGACTGGTTCTATCCCGTGAATTAAAAACGCGTTCCCGCAATGACGTTCTATAAAATAAAGCGACGCGAGTTCCTAATCGACGTCGAATCTAGTGGCGTCCTAATGAACACGGACACGTAAGTACCGGAGCGACATACTCTACTATGACGCGATTCTCTAAACGGCGGCGACGTCGTTTCAGGCGTCCCGATGGTCGCAGCTAAACATTTCTTGGAACGGCGTCCGTTTTGACAACGTAACACGAACCTCGGATCGGCGTCGACGTTAAAAGCGTCCCGTGATATACAAACGCGAGTCCTGGATCGATCGCAAAATTAACAGCGTCCCGAGGGATATACAAACGCGAGTCCTGGATCGATCGCAAAAATAATCGGCGTCCTGTGGGATAATCACACACGCGAGCCCTGGATAGATCGCGAAATTAACAGCGTCCCGAGGGATATACAAACGCGAGTCCTGGATCGATCGCAAAAATAATCGGCGTCCTGTGGGATAATCACACACGCGAGCCCTGGCTAGATCGCGAAATTAACAGCGTCCCGAGGGATATACAAACGCGAGTCCTGGATCGATCGCAAAAATAATCGGCGTCATGGGGGATAATCACACACGCGAGCCCCGGATAGATCGCGAAATTAACAGCGTCCTGTGGGATATACACACACGCGAGCCCTGGATCATGAAATTAGCGACGTCTCGGCGAGTTGTACGTCGTTTCGAGAAACGCAGGCCGCACACACACCGCCCGGTCAGGACAACCTCGGGATTTCGGCGAGATCCCGTTCAGCGTCACTGATGCAGGGTGTCGTCCGGACGACACACCCAAAAAAATACGCGGGCTACAGAACCCGCTTCGGGATTTGGGCGAGGTCCTGTGTTAGCTCCGTGAACATTCGCGACCCGTGCGTTTACTGAACTGCCCGGACTGTCCCTTAGAAAGATGAATTAATTATTAGCCCGTAATTAGCTTTCCCCCGAGAGGTACACTGAGCCGGAGCAGATGTCAGACAACCTTTTCAGGACATCATTCCTGGCGACCTACCCGTAGCACAGCGTAGTCCCTTTTTGCCTGCTCGGCAATCCTGGCAATTTTAATATGAAAGAAGAAAACTACGAACTCTCGTCTCATCAACCGAAGGACACGTCAGACCGGAGCAGATGTCAGACAACCTTTTCAGGACATCATTCCTGGCGACCTGCCCGTAGCACAACGTAGTCCCTCTTTGCCTGGTCGGCAACGGTTGTTCTCCCGCGCTTTTAATATCCTAACAATCCCGTCAACTAACTCCCTTATCCCTATAACGCAACCAGGTAGTCGAGTAAACGCTTAATAACAATAAAATAATACGACCTACCCTCGATCACTTTGGCGGTGGGTGCTTACCTTATACAGTACGGCGGCAGGCGGCTGGCAGCAGGACACTTGGCAGGGCACTCCAGACTCGAACCTCACTGGTTCATGTGCGACCACTAACTAACTCCGTAGTGCTAGTGCGGCCGAGGTACTCGACTACGCTCCCCTCCACTCAACCTGCACTGGTAGGGAGAGCGGCGCAAACGTCTCGGTTTCTCGCACCGAACCACGGCGACCAAAACCGATCAAAACTCTCTTACAAAATGGCAATTAAATATTTAACTTATTTAATTCAACAATAGAAACACTAATGAAGTTCATTACAATAATGAGTTAACAATAAAATACACTGCCTGTCATTATTACAAGAGAATCAAGTCTCTATTATTCTAGTATAATATTAATATAATATACAGGGTGGCCCAGAAATTTTATGAACTTCATTACAAACTGGATTTTCATTTTTGAAATAAAAAGTCGGTGGTCAGTGCCGCATTCGGCATCTATTCTGGCTTTTGTGAGTCTAACATCTTTTAGATGCGTCCTTCGAACGATTACGTGGTCCAATTGATGCCAGTGGCCTGATCTGGGATGTTTCCAGGTACCTTTAAAGTTGTCCTTCAACATGAACCACGTATTGGTGATGCAAAGATTATACTCTGTGCATGTTGTTAATAAGCGTTCACTATTGCTATTTACGTTTCCCATACCATGTTTTCCCAATACGTGAGGCCATATTTCCTGTTGTTTACCGACACGGGCGTTAAAGTCACCTAGCAAGATAATTCGTTCGTTCTTCGGAATTCGTTGGAGAGCATTTTGTAGAGTTTGGTAAAATATATCCTTATCCTCAATTTTAGCGTCTAGGGTGGGAGACGTCTAGCG